ACCACCCTCATTGTAAAAAAGTCTTTTCCTCGTGTCCAGCCCAAACCTCCCCTGTTTTAGTTTAAAACCACCACCTCTTGTCCTATCACAACAGGCTCTGCTAAAAAGTCTCTCCTGTCTTTCTTATAGGCCCCTTTTAATTACTGAAAGATCGCAGTAAGTTCTCCCCAGAGTCTTCTCCAGACTGAATAACCCCAAGTCTCTCAGCATTTCCTCACAGGAGAGGTGTTCCAGCCCTCTGATTGTTTTTGTGTCCTCCTCTGGACCCACTCCAACAGGTACCTGTCTTTGCTGTACTGAGGACTCCAGAGCTAAATGTAGTACTGAAGAGGACATAAACACTGCAGAAGCGAGATCAAATAAGTGCCTGCGTAAAACAATGGAACAGGCAGTCAGTCATCCTTCCATTAAGGGAGTGTTACCTGTGGCTCTGACAGGACATAGGCAGTGGCAGTAATAGAGCATCACTGAGAAGAGGAGAATATTATGTACTCGTTAGTGATGTGAATAAATACAATTGCATGGGAAAGGATAGTTTTAATACAATTCCTGTTTTACCAAATGCGTGTTGTTTAAACAGTAGTGTTTGAAAAGACAGGCCAAGGGCCTTTGGCACCATGGAAGAGCTGACAGCTGTCCTAATTAATCTACACATGTAATTAAAGAGCTACTTTAATCCACACACTGCAAACTGAGCATATTTAATTGTAAACAGCAATTTGCTTAATACCCAAATGTCTGCTTAAACAAGAAATTGTGGTTGTGGGCTCCAATTATCTTTGCAGGCTGTTCTGTACACAGCCTCAGTGTTCAGAAACTGGATCAGTATGATGGTACAATAGGTAACACAAGTATAATCCTTCTTTGACATAATAGCTAGAAAGTAAGAAAGATACCTCATTTTGATTCTGTTTATATCAACGGCAAAAGTCATTAGAGATGTGTTTTCCATACATGTGTTTGATGTCAGTAACCCTGTTTTTTTGATGACACCGGCTTAGAACTTCTGGGTTGGTTTTGGTTTTTTGTTTGTTTGTTTGGGTTTTTTCACAAAATACAATTTTATTTGTAGTTGGGAAAAAAAATAACCCCTCTAACTTTATTCCCCAATGAATACAGTAAATGTTTTTCACCAGTTTCTTCTCTTCACTGTAAAGTTTTAGGCAAAAGCCCAGAAAATAATCTGGAGCACGAGCTTTCTGTGAAAGTATGGCTATGCTTCCTGGTGGAAGGACTATGGACAAATTGAGATGAGGTGTAAGACACAGCTGTATTACATTATTGATACAGTATGCTTGTTCTGTTTTGGATAAGCTCCCTGAACTGGTCTTTGGAGAGCAATGGAAGGAAAATATCCTTTCTAATTTTTAATTGTGGAAGTCTGTTAATGTTCAGTTATGGTGGAAGTTGCTATGAGCTGACAATACCAGTTTAATTGTGCTGGGAGCAAGCATGTCTCATCACTTTGTTGCTATTTTATTTTGCTTAACAGGAACAAGGTGGCTTAAAATACCTGTAAAGTTTTTATCTGCTCATTAATTTAATACAAGGATATCAACTGGGTGTGTTCAGAAAAATAAAAAGGTGGGGGAGAACTACAGGTGGTATCAGCTGTGCCAGCTTTATTGAATGCAGGGGCTATATGCTGAGAAATTGACAGCTCCTAAAAAAACCGCTTTCGTGTATTTGAAGTGCTGTCTTAAATTGTTTGTCTTTGAATTGATTGTTAGGGTACTTTTTGTTTGACTGTATGATGCCGACCTTTTGTGTTTGCCCTATTACAGTTTTACAAATATTTTAGTTTTGCCTTTGTTTGTTGTATCTTTTTAGTCTATTGTAAACTGTCACTATCTTTTAGCAATATTGTGAACTGGTTTGTGGTGTAAATGAATTTTGATTTTTAAAAAATAAAAAAATACTTTCAATAGAGTTCATGTAATGGAATTGTTTTTTAGTTTTTATAAAATTTATTAAAAGCCCACTTTAATTCTTGACAGTTATATGAGACTTTCCTGAACCCTACAGTCAAAAGGTAGGATTCTGGTAGCCTACCTGAGTACTGAGGTAGGCTTGGGTTCCCTGGTGCTTAAGACCTGCATATAATCCTTCTTCTGTTGGCATCTAAGTAAAAATGGCCTTGTAATGTTATATGAAAGCGAGTGAAGACTCATCGCATTGTTTATTAGTACTGTGCAAAACATTTAGAATAAAAGTCTGTAACCAGAAATACATTGTTCTGACCTTTGGTTAACAGGAGTATCTGTGACCATAAATCTTCCTGGTTAGCTCTGAACTGTAGTCCTGCTGGGGGGGGGGACATGTGTGCTGGGAGCCCAGCTACACTGCTGGTGATGTGCCAAGGCAGTCTTTTCAGAAGTGGTTATTAAAGCATGTTTGTAACCTTTGTTGGTCTTCTTCAGAAAACAGGAAGTATATGTCCATTGTTAAAGCTTGTCTGGCAATAGTACAGAAGAGGAAGCAATTGACTGAAACCTGGGTTCTAGCTATATAGATACAAAAGATGTTAAGAACATTACTGATCTCTGACTCTATGACATGACACCTGTGAATTCTTGGTTCATAATTCTTTTTCTTTGCCACTTCATTTTCCAGCCCAGGGCCAGCAGAGTGACTTGCTTCATCATTCTGTTCCTGGTTGCTTGTGCTCCTGTGACATCCCCATTAGAGACAGCCAGATGACATCCTTAGCTGTACTCTGTCTGAAGGTATGCATTTCCTGACCCTCCTTTCTTCCACAGTGGGTCTGCCCAAAAACATATGACAATCATATATTTAAGTGGTAGTGCAGAACTACATTCTCATGATCTTCCCTGTTTTCTTCTCTTTTTCCCAGTCTTTTTTCCTTTGTGCTTTCTGAGGACAAGTGGCACAAGGGCAGTTTTTATCTCATTTAAAAATCCATTTATTGGCATGTATTGGGTGCACAAAAGGAGTTATTTCTTCATCTGAAGTGACTAGACTTGGTTCTTTGCATTTCAAGGAGTAAATTTAACAGTAACACCAGAGGAGCTGTGGATGTTATGTCTGTGTAAGGCAAGTTTATAAGAGGAAAGAATTAGGCTTGATTTCTCGAGCTCTACAGAATCTCTCTTGCTTTTGTCTCACTGAAAGCAAAAAAGAGTCGTGTTCTTGAGAGAAGATGAATGCTCCCATCAGTAGTGCAGAGAACTACTGGTAATTGCATAGCTGTGCACTTATAGTAGACAAAGTCCTGTCTTGAAAATTAAAAAAAATAGGATAAATTTACTATTTATCCTTCACTTGTTCCTATTTATCCTTCAGGATAAATTCTGGCTGAGCAATATGAATGTTTCTTGTCTGGTATTTTTATTCTGCCTTATTCTGCTTGAATTTAAAGCCTTTTGACACATGGATATACGGTAGATCACTGAAAGCAAAATACATAAAAAAATCCAAGCTGTACCGTGTTGCCAGAAAATAAGAAGTTGCAGCAACTATGGGGGGAGAATCTGACTGCTTCTTTAATAGTAGAGAATGGGTTGTTCAGCCTGAAGGGCCTGGGCTCAGTTACAGTATGGTTGCAGGATGGTGGCTGTGTGTGACACTGGTAAAGGACTTAATCTGTTTCAGGAACAGAGTAGTAATATGTAGCATTTTGGTAGTGGCTGCCCTGCTTTTGAACTCAGGTGAGGAAAGTTAGTATTAACAAAGAATTAAAAAAGTCTGGTGAGGTATTAATTCTCTGGTCTTCCAGAGTCAGTACTTCAGTAGCTGAATGTCTTTCTTTCAGTCTTTTTGCAAGTCAGATAAATGACAAGCATTCCAAAACCTAGTGAAACAGATCTATTGTCTTCTCCTTGTTTAACCATCCACAGCTTGGTGGACTGTGATGTGATTTCTGGCATTCCTTCCTTCCCCATAGGTTTCATCAGTTTGTTTTCTTCCTCCTGAAAAAGACATCTGTGTGATATGGGCATGCTCCTGTTTTAGATGAACTACTTTGACCCTTGTGGCACAGGCTTGGATTTCAAAGATGTGTGTTTTCTTTTAATTGCCTTTGTGGCTGTCCCAAACTGTGTCATCCTGTCCTACCCTCTGTAGAGGGTAATAAGAGGGTAATAATGATACTTAGTCTCTTTTGTGTTTTGTTTTGTTTTTTTTTGTTTGTTTGTTTTTTTTTTTTTTTGCTTGAAAGCCAGTTGAAGCCTATAGATACTAAATACTTTGTTAGTGCTGCTTGTCACAAAGTAAGAGAAAGTCACAGTTGCAAAACCCAGCAGGCCAGCAGTGCACCTTGCTGGGTATACTGGCACAGTAATGCAGTCTTTACCTGTAATATTGGTGCAGCCGTAATGGCCTTCTGTTAGGATTGTACCTTTTGCAGGCTTGAGGGACGATGAAAATGAGCGATGCCCTCTTCCCCTGTGAACCTTGTACTGTTAGATTGTAACGTTGCAGGCTATTTCTGCCTGTAAGACTTGAACTTTGCTGTTTTACAGGACACGCTGTGGCCAACTGGCACAGGACTAGAATTCTTGCATCACCGTTTTATGTTGCTGAACATGAAGGCAATGAGAACTGAGGTAGGGAAATGCGCAGGAGGAACAAGGGCTGTAGCCAGTGAGTGTCCCCTCAGGGTAACGGATTGTGTGGCTGTTTTGTGCACGGTGGGCCTGGTCGCTTGTGATGGCCCATGGAGGTGCGTGCTTCCACCCTGGGAAGCAGCACATGCTGTCTAGGAGGAACCCGCGGCCCTTCCCGGCAGCAAGGTCTGCGTGCGAGATACTCCACTGTTATCTCTAAACGTGCTTTAGCTTTACAAAACACACTTCAAACAGGAATCCAGACCGGGGAAACCCGTTCCAGCGCGGGCTGTGGGAGGAGCGCGGTTTCGATCCGGCCTTGCCTATCCAGTGCTGAGGTCCCGGTCCCAACCCCGCCCTGCCCCGCTGGGGGGCGCTGTAGCTACCGGCGCTGTGGCTAAGCTCGGTGGGCGGGGCGGGCCGTGGCGGCGGGTAGAGGACGCAGGTGGCGAGGTGCCTGCTCGCCGGGAGCTGCAATGGAGGCGCTGGCGGTAAGGGGCCGGGAGGCATGCGGCCCGGGGCCGGGGGCCGGGGGCCGGGCTGCGCCCTTCACCGCCTGCCCTTCTCCTTACAGGGTGCCCCTGTGGCTATCGCCGTGGCCGTGGTAGCTGCATCCGCCCTGCTGCTGCTGCTGCTCAGAAACACGCGGCGGAGGGACGGCGGCCTCGTCACCCTGCAGGACCCGCTCGCTAAATACCCTCTGCGGCTGGTGGAGAAGGAGGTGACCGGAGCGGGCGAATGCCTGAACCCCCTCCCTGGGGCCCAGCCGTAGGGGGTCCTGCTGGGTCCCTTCCCATCCCTGTGCGTCGGTCTGGGGGGCGCTCGGTCCGTGGGCTCGGGGCAGTGTGATGGGAGGTTGGCGCCTCAGCCGGAGGGTGTGAGGGGCGGTATGTCTTGCGCTGCCCCTCTGCACTGCAATGGTTCTTGTGGGCAGAGCAGGATCCTGGAAAGCGTTGGTGCCAACGCTACCGTGTTACACTTGTTCCAAGAGGAGGGTAGACTCATGTCTTTGTGTATGTAAGTCCTACTTTGGAGCTGCGTTTCTCCCTTAATTTCTGCCCAGCGTGACTCATCAGCAAGAGGTAACCCTGACAGCCAGTGTTGAGGCGCGTAGTGACTTGCCTGATCTTTGGCCACAGATGATGAAATGCGCTCATTGGCCTTGGGCGATGGAGAGTTTCCAGATTCTCTTTATGTAAAGGCTCTGTCGGGATTGCGAAGACAGGAAGACGCTCCTTGTGGAATTAAAGAGGAAAAGACCGCTTAGAAACTTCTGATCTATTTAAACTTGATTTTCCAAAGCCATTTCTGCTTCCATTCCTAGCATTTGGCTTGTGTGCTAGCCAAGAACAGGCTTACTAAAGTGCATTGTGTTGAGTAGAGTTTGAAATTCAAAGCAGTGGTGATGTTGACCTCACTCCGATTTCATTTGCTTTGTTTTTTTTTTTTTTAGGAAATTAGTCATGATACTAAGAAATTCCGATTTGGGCTGCCTTCTCCAGATCATAAATTAGGATTACCTGTAGGTAAGCACTGAAACCACATCATTACATATATTTTTTGGGTTTAGGAGTTATAATTGTCCTGGGAGTTCTGACTGTTTGGAAAATTAAGGCTCAGCAAAGCAAGGAGTTAAAAGCTGCATCTGAATGCTGCTGTGTCAGAGAGAAATGCCAGATTTCCCAAGGGGTTGTGTTTCTGATCTTTTGTGTGCTTGTGTGAAATTGTGTGGTGTAGTTTAGAACAAGAGCAGTGAAACTGAACTGGGTGTGGTGGAGTTCATCACCAGTGAGGATATAAGCAAGAATGGTATCTGTCAAAGTTTTTTCTTATTTCTTATTCGCATTCTACTTCCATCTAGTACCCTCACTTTATTGGTGACTGCCCTCAGGCTTTTGGCAAATACAGTTGCACTTGTAAATGAGAATGAGAACAACTCTGCCTGGAAGCTTGTAACTATTCTGTGCAGAGCAAAGGGGAAAATACAACTACTCTACATAGAAGATGCTGAAATACTCGGAAGCTTTTCCGTTCATGCGCTTACCTTTGGTTTACATACATATGCGTCTAGCTTCCTCTTGCTTTCTGTAGCAAGAAGTTCATTTCAGACTAGGATTGTCAGTCTTCTTTCCCGTACCCGGCAGAACTGATGGCATTAAACCTTGGACCTTGAATTCGTGGCAGTCTGTGCGGGGAAAGTCTCCCTTTCTGATCTGCAGATGTTGCCCTGTTTGTTTTGTACTATGTTTTCACAGTTTCCCGTGCTCTATGGCAGGTATCAGGGTTTGTCCATGCATGCCGTGCTGCAAGCACAGCCTTCTTTTGCATCCTGCCTGTCAAGGGCAGCAGTCTTTCTCCAGGTTCTTATCTGGCTTGTATGGGAAAGTGTAATTGAACTGTCTGCACTAACTAGACAAATGATAAATGAATTGAGAACTGCCCCCAAGCGCTTGTGTTTATCCAGACTGTATTCTTAAAAATTCAGGAGTAAGATCCTGAAACTGTATGTGCCAGATTACTTTCTGGGAGATTCCTGCTTTCTGCTTTTTTTACCAGGATCATTTGGCTAGAAATTGAAGTGTTTTCTGCCAGCACTGTTCCTGCTTTTGTTTTTCCATGCAGCAATGTCGATCAGTGCTGTCTGGCTGAGGAGATTACTCTTGCCAAGGAGTTTCAGTTCTTTTAATCAGCAGGTTAAAAGGGTGCCTTTTAGAGTCTGCGTTTTGGAGGATTAGGTTGCACAAAAAGCTGTCTGTGGACAGCAGTGTCCAATGCTATGGCAGCTGCAGCATTACGGAGGTAGGAGTTACCGAGCAGGAGCATGACCCAAGGCTTTGTTCTTGATGTCTTGGTGCAGAATCTCTGGGAAGTTTGTCCTGAGAGGCTGTTGCTGTTAAACCGTAATACTTACTCCTTTGTGAGCTGGTATACCCTTACTTGCACTTCACTGATAGATGTGAGAACAGCAGAACCCAAAATACAGGGCACTTGAGAATGAGCAACAAACTTTCTATATCACTGTTTTATAATAAGTTTCCTACTTTTCTTGTGGCTTATCTTTGTAACATAGCAGCTGTCCTCAGTTACCCTGTGCTCCAGAAACTTTTGCTGCAAAAAGAGACTAAATGTTTTATACGGCATTTATTTGGTGCAGGCTTTCTCCATCATTGCTTGTGTTTAATGGTTTACAATACCTGCTTTTCTCTCCCATCTTTTCTTCCAGGGGTGAAAAAATAAATAATGAGATTGTAATTCTTTCTCCCCAGGCCAACATGTTTACCTTTCTGCAAGAATTGATGGGAATCTGGTGATTCGAGCCTATACCCCAGTTTCCAGTGATGAGACAAAAGGTTATGTTGATTTAATTATAAAGGTAAATTTTGATTTCCTTTAATTTAGATAAATTGCTAGCTTGAATGACTTCATTTCAGGAAAGTATAGAGTTTATTTTGATTGATTGTTTTTCCAATAGCGTGACTGCATGGCAGACAACTCATTTCACATTATCCTTGACTAGTGAGTTGTATCCTGTGTATCTGCTGTATGTCACTGAGAGACAGCAGAGGTAGGGTAGATGGAGAAGGGAATCACTTCCTTGGCAGTTCTGCAGGAACCTCCCTAGTTAACTTTTAACTGATAATGCATGAATAGAAATCGCTCTCCCTTGAGATGCCTATGCTGCTACTAACTGCTAATAGCTGGAAGTAGAAAACAAATCAATAAGAACTGCAATTTTTGGCGATGCTAGAGAGATTGTAATTATATTTCTGTAAGTGTCAGAAGTTGTTGCTAATGTGTTTATTGATTAAGAAAATAGGATACAGAAGAAAGGGAAATCATGTAAGCTGGGGAGTGCAGGATGATTTGATCCCAGGACTTCTGGATTCTCTAATTCTTTTCTATGATAGAGTTTGTCCTTAGGCAAAAATCTGGGCTATTTTGTGTGCTCTGTTCTTCAAGTATGGTGAATTGTTACTAACTACGTAATACTTACTATGTGCTTTGAAACATGAAAAACTTATAACGTGGCTCAGGTCTCTGGGAAAGGCTTGAGAAGATGCAACAATGCTGCTGTTTTCAGGAGTGATTACAAAAATGGAGTAACATGAGGTTCTTGCTGGAGCAGTGGTGAAGTGAGGGCACCAGTACATAATCTGGCTGCCACTGTTCCTATTAGCCTGGCTGTTAGTAGAGAGCATGGGGACATGTGTCTGACAGAGCATTTCACTTATTTTGGCTGCTTCCTGTTGTAAGGCACAACAGGTAACTGGGAGCAAAGAACTCAGTTTCTTTCTCAGATGCTCAATTTCAGACCTGCAATACTGTGTTCTACAGTCTTGTAATACTGTCTGCATGAAAGGTAGTGGGTGATATCATGCAAGTTATTGCTTTTACAGGTCTACCACAAAAATGTGCATCCCAAGTTTCCAGAAGGTGGAAAGATGTCCCAGTACCTCAATGACATGAAGATTGGAGATATTATTGATTTCAGAGGGCCAAATGGGCTCCTTGTCTATAAGGGGGCAGGTAGTGTGGCATGAAGGTGGGAAAGCAAACGGGAGGATTTTGTGCTGGTTATTTTTAGTTTTATAAAACTTGATAACTTTGTAGCAAACCTTCTTTTTAAAAAAGTGTAAAAGAGAAAATCCACCTTTCCTGATCTTGATCAAGAGCCCATCAGAGTTCATATGATGGAAAGGAGTACTTTGTGTTTACTTTGTGTGAGGAGTAGCTGGTCTCACTCCTGGGACCATATCATGTCGAGAAATCACTATTGCATTATACTAGTGAGAAGGCTGCACTGGAAATAATACCTCAGCTATACATATGGAGGGAGATGTTCCAGATGCTTCTTAACTAAGTAAGGGAGGCTGTGGCCTAAAATGCCCACTGAGACTCTCAGTGTTGTAACTGAATAACCTGCTGACTGAGAGCCAGCTCCATCTCACGATTAAACCTGTTGACTGTGAGGAAATGAGTTCAGAGAAGTAATCTTCTTTCACGATGCAAGTGAAAGATTTTGCACTGATGCTGGCTGAAAGGGACTGTTCACTTAACTCTTACTTCAGGGGGATATAAGTGCTCAGTACTTCTCTGGATCGTGACCTTTCATGATGAGTAATATACTAATGAATCTGTTACACCTCAGGAAACAAGCGATGCATTTTTTGCAAACATTCCTTTCTGCTCTGCTTTGGCTGCTATAAAAAGTGGTAGCTAGGGAAGCTTGTTACTAGTTACTTATCTCTTAAGACTGGAATATGTCAAGTGCTTTTTGTATAAAATGCTTTTGATGGGCTTTTCATTTGGCTTGGTCCTTGGAGATTAATTCAATCACAATTCTGTGGTAGCAATGGTGTACCCAGGTGTAGAGCAGCAATGGCCAAGGTGGTCTCTTCACAGGATAGCAGGAGTCACCCAGCTTACTACGGGTGTCATGGGGGATCTCAGTGACTAGAAGTGAATTACAGTAATGAAATACTAATCTTTGCAGGGGTTCCTGCTTGATGCTGATTTAATTACAACTCCATTGAGAGTGTACACATGCAAATGGTGAAATCCATGGTGCAAGTGAGAATGAAGATGTCTTAAACCTTTTTCTCTGTCGTAGGGGCTGTGGTTACCTTTAGCTACCACCAACATTCACAGATGCCAAGTTGTGTTTTAGGCATGATGTGGGACTCTTCTTCAGGGACTGTAGCAATAGGACAAGGGGTAACAGGTTTGAACTTAAACAGGGGAAATTTGGGTTAGGTATAAGGAAGAAGTTCTTTCCTGTGAGGGTGGTTACCCACAGAGGTGGTGAATGCTCCATCCCTGGCAGTGTTCAAGGCCAGGGTGGACAGGGCTTTGGGTGACATGGTCTAGGGTGAGGCGTCCCTGCCCATGGCAGGGGGTTTGGAACTAGATGATCTTAAGGTCCTTTCCAACCCAAACCATCCTATGATTCTATGTGGGAATCCTGGAGTTTATTATGAATGGTGTTGTACAGCAGGGAAGGAGTAGATCAGTTGTTCAAAGACTGGAGTTTTTAGGGACAAAGAGGTTTTTAACTCTTTGTGCTCACTGCTGTGGTGAGTCCATTCAGCATTTCCAGTTCTGTCCTAATAGCTAGCGTATAGCAATCCATGTTTGTTTTGGAGTTGATATACCTATAGGTTTTGAATATTTCTTCTAGGTACCTTTCTTATCAAGCCTCATAAGAAGTCTGAAGCAGAGAAGAAGTTTGCAAAACATCTTGGGATGATAGCTGGAGGAACAGGTAAAACTATTCACATCCTGAGGAATGTCTAGAGAGCAAATATCTTTATGGGTGTGTGTGAGAAGTATCAAACATGGTACCTCAGCAGCAGAGCACTTACACCTGTATTTCTTTTCCTAGCAACTCTGACGCTTTCCAGTGGCTTGAGCTCAGTCCTGGGAGCTAGAAACTTCAGAGTTTTAATCTTGATTTACAGCGTGTCCTCAGAGAAGTCACTGTCTCTCTGAGCATCAGCCTCAATCACCAAAAATGTTTTAGGAGAATATCTTGGAGGCAAAAGGGCTGTATGTGATAGAGAATGCTGAAGAGGAAAGCCCCAGATAGAAGTACTGTGGGCTTGGATTGGTTGGGTGGGTTTTTTTAGACTATTTGTAATAGTAGAATCCCCCAAGCTCTGCATTTGTCCCTGTGCAGACTAAGCTTCCACTGAAGACTGATGGAAGGCAGCTTTAATACTGAAACTGCAGCTACAGAAAGAAGTACCCAGTTTTTAACCACTCTGTTTTTTAACAGGAATAACTCCGATGTTGCAGCTGATTCGTCGGATCACAAGTGATCCCAAGGACTCCACTAAATGTTATCTTCTTTTTGCTAATCAGGTGAGTGTACTGACTCATCTGTTTGTCCTTCTTTAATGGCCTACCTTCTCTGCTGGCCTCTGAGCTTTCTGAAGTGATGGCCATTGACCCCTGGAGAAAGTTCTGCTTTGCATGTTTAGTACTCTTCCAGTGTCCTTGGATTCGTGAATTTCACCCAACCATTTATGAGAAAATTTTATCTCAGATGGGACATTTAAAAATGATCAGCATGGGGAGGAGCAGGAGATGGTTAATATTTAAGGTCTTAATATAATGTCTTCGAGTAAAGCAATTTAAAGAGAAACTGAATAAAAAAATGAACCATAAGACCCTTTATAAGTACTTGCATGGTGCTCTCACAGTTCGCATGATCATCTTCTATTTGTTTTGAAGATCGCTCCTTATAGTTTCACTTGTACTCCCTAAGTCCTATATTAGGGAATAAATACTGTGAACAGATCCTGATCCCTCTACTCATTTTACTCCTTTGCTGATTCCACGGGAAAATTTAGTTTGGTTAGTCTGTTTCTGCAGTTAACCATCACCATGCTGGTACACAGGGCCACATTTGCCAGGCTCAGAAACAAAGTCAGCTAATTCTGATTTTTTTACCTTGAATTTAAAAGTTGTTAAAATTGCCATCTTTAAGTCAGTGTTTAGGTGGCTATTAAGTCTCATAGGTTGTTGTTCCTAATCTGAATTTACAGAAGCCTTTAATGATAATAGCTTTTGTGCATGGGGGGGGGGGGGGGGGAGAACCCACTTGTTTTTTGTTTGAATGAGTTATTACTGCCTTTGTCCTGTAGAATGCCAGGTGAGCTCACCTTAGAGGGCACCTTGAGGTGGGTTGGACCTAAACTGCGGTCTCATTTTGCAGACAGAGAAAGATATATTACTGAGAGCTGAGCTAGAAGACATTGCTAAGAGGCATCCTGATCAGTTCACGTTTTGGTATACACTGGACAGACCTCCACAAGGTAAGCTGCTGGTACACACTGGAAGTGTGTTTGCTGATCACCGTTTCACTTGTGTTCAAGAGATCATTAGTATAATACCAATTCCTCTTGTTTTGCACTTCTAAATGACAAAGATGCCCCTCAGAAAGAAGTCTTACCAAAACACCTCTTTTGAATAGTGATCTAAACCAGGTGGGTCTTAGAAAGTGAACTAAAATTAACTCCTCTTATGTCAGACAAGTTATTCCGTGGATCTTTTGATGTATTCTGGGAGGTGCCAGTTTTGGGGACTTTTAAAAGTTACAGCCCTGTTTTGAGCTATTGCTCCAGTCAGGTTATGTTAGCATTTTGTAGGCATTAAATTGCTTAATACCTGTAAAAAGTACAGGCACATCTTTGTTTTGCAGCAGCTCTAGATTAGATTCTGGTAAAACAAACAGCTGCCATGTGTATAGATAAAGGCATTAACTGTAGGCTGGTGTAGCAATGAATTGGAAATGGAGGGAGAGGTTGAATTTACTGAATCTTTTCAGACACTTGGGTAGTCATGTTTGCTGCTGTTGTAAGTGATCTGAGCTTTTATTTAACACACATGAGAGCCAAACTGAGTCAGATTGAAGTTCTGTGCCTGATGTCAGCAACAGCCATGAGTAGAAGGCCAGAAAATGTCTTGGTACTCTTCCAGTCTTTCATATTTCTCAGTTCTGAGCCAACTACAGCTACAGTAACACTCAGTGGACTACTTCTGTAAGAACTTAGCATGTCTCATTTGGAGCCCACCTGAGGTTTTTGGCAGTCTGTTCATTAGTGGTTCCACAGGATTAGCACTTTTGTGTGAAGAATGACATCCTCTGGTTTGCATTTGCCTCCTAACTCATGTGTTGGAAGAGTATGAATAGGTGCCTATGTACTGTCTTCACATTACTAATTTTACAGACATCTGTAAAAAACAACAACAACAAAAAACCAACATCAGTTGCGCCTGCTGCCCCATCTCCTGTACACTGACAGCTGCTGGTCTCCCCATGCAGCAGTGATTATGTACCTTTGCTCATCCTTGTTCCGACTATCTTTTCCAGCTCTGCTGTGTCCCTTTTTAAGCTGAGCAGCTCAGCACTGAACAGTGCCAGTCAAGATGCAGGCAAACTCAATTTTTACTTTCCCTTACCTGATACTCCATAAGATTTTACATGCCTTTTGATTACTGCTGTTTTCATAACAGCAATATCTTTTTCCTGATGATCTTAAAGCATGTACTTTTTTTATGTGAAGGCAGGATTATTTTCCCTACTTGGCTCACTTTGAATGGCAGATGCGTTCAATTTCAGTAATATTACTGCTTAAGATAATTTAGCATTTCTTTCCTCTTCTTTTTTCTTAGCCCTTTACACAGGAGGACTTTTGTCATCATCTAACTTTGTCACCTCATCGCTCGATCTCTTTTCTATTTTTGGATTTTTTCATGTGTTGGATGGCACAGGTCTCAACCTTTCTCCCTGCACAACTGTCCCAGGTGACCTCTCTTCACTGGAGAAAAGCTAATTTAATTTACTCTTCCTGTTTATTCCTACCTGCTGTCTAATTTCTTTTAAATCTATCATTTATTGAGAACTTCCATGTCTTATCAATGAGATCCTTGTTACCCATATGCTACTTGTTCCTGTGGAAGGGGACCACTATGTTTGAGCTCACTGAGAGATTTAACCCTCTTTTGGCTTGCACAGTGATAGTAGCTTAACCTCACTGATTCTACAGCTACTTTGCAAGTACAACACAGGCAGTTTTAGAAGGCTTCAAACTGTTTAGCGATTCATATTAAAAGTTTAATCTCTCTGTTTCAGATTGGAAGTACAGTTCTGGCTTCATCACTGCAGAGATGATTCAAAGCCACCTCCCTCCCCCTGGCAGTGAGACACTCATTCTCCTATGTGGGCCACCACCCATGATTCAGTTTGCCTGTCAGCCCAACCTGGACAAACTTGGCTATCCCAAGAGCAGTACATTTTCTTATTAATGCTGATGTCATCTGATACTTTTTCCTAAGTACTGTGTGTTTTCCTACAGGAACAACTGGTATGTAACTGCAGTGTTTTTTTTGTGTGTGTGTTTCTTAACAACTTAAAAGAATTCCTGTGGTTTATAACTTCACAATTGCCTTTGCATATTTTAAGAAATTGAGAGATCATCTTGAATTGTGTGGAAGTAACTTAGTTTAACCTCTTAAGTTAGTATGAAATGTTAGTACTGAGGAACAAAACAATTAAGAGTAATTGGAGAGGTAGGACAGAGATAAAACCACTTGTTTGTTGACATGGGTATGGAATTTGGGAGAGGTCTGTGAAGCAGGACTGGCATGGTTTGACTGTGCTCTGCAGGTAATTAATTTAGGAAATCCTGGGGAGGACAGTACAAAGAACAGTCTATTTTCCTCCCCTTTGTTTTTTTCATGCTGCTTTAAACCCTTTCCCAGGACTAACAAACTGAAATACCAGAGACTATGTTATTGAAGAAGTGAATAGAGTTTGGGCAACACGCAAATTGCCTATTATTGTAACAGAAATTCTCACTAGTGTGAAATTTATTTGGGAAGATTAAAATAACTTCATGCTGTCTTCTAACAGCCTTAGCTAAATCACTGTCAAATGCATAGAGAAGTTCTGGGCTACATATACAGACATGACTACTGTTGTGGTTCCATTTGAATGTCATTCCCTACATGCACTGCTTGCTCTTCTGGCAGCTTCAGAAATCTCCTTTGCTTACAAGAAAACATTGTTTCTTACTTTCTATTGTAAGCTATGCTGAGGTGATCTTATACTTAGATAATCATGTTAGTGTTTTTACCACATACACAGCGTTTAATTCTTAGCCTTCAGCTCCTGAAGTACTGCACTGCATGTTCGTCTCCAGGAATTAGTTTATCCTGCAGTTGTTTCAAGGTCTGGCAGATCTCTGAGTCAGAAGACTTGTGATGTCAGGGGCTAATGAATGTGTGTCCTGGGTTCAGCAGTAGCAGTCATGTTTTTCCTTTGTGTTAACTGGTGCAGTGCTGTGTTTTGACTTCTAGCTTGAGAACAGTGTTGGTGAAGCCGATGTTTTCGGTTGCTGCTAAGTGATGTTTACCCTGACCAAGGACTCTGTGAGGCTCATGCTCTGCCAGGAAGGAGGGGAAGCTGTGAGGAAGCAGAGACGGGGCGCCTGACCCGGGCTGGCTGGGGAGGTATTCCATACCACAGCACGTCATGCCCGGGGTGGGGGGTAACTGGGAGTTACCCGGAAGGACAGGGGCTTCCGGGTGGAACTCGCTTTCTTGGCCGGTGGTATCGTATTCTCTTCCCTTGTTATTTTCCCTTATCATTGTTTTAGCTGATAGTAGCGGTGGTGATTTGTTGCTGGACTGTTCTTGTCTCAACCCGTAGGAGTTGCACTCTCTCGATCCTCCTCCCCGTTCCTCCGGGAGCGGGGAAGGGGAGAGCCCCGGTGCGGGGGGGGGGGGGGGGGGGAGACGGACACGGACCTTGATTGTTGTCAGCTCGGCACCACTCACTGGGAGTGAGTGAACAAGTTACCTGACTGGGTTTAAACCAAGACAATGTGTTTACTAAATATTTTTACTCATATAAAACAAAAGGAATCTACTAGGTAAAGGTTTTTTTGTACTTCATCAGTTATGTCTGTAGCAGTGATGAAAAGACAGATACAGGGTTTCATACTGTTGATTCTGTCCCAGGTAAGAGATCAACAACATGTGTGTTTCTGTTAGAATCATGCCACAGTCAGAAAGAGATGGAGGTACACTCAGCATTTATTCATAACAGTCAAAAAATATAAGCATTTATGCCAGTGTTATGCTAGTTAGGATTTCTTACTTAGATACATGTTTTAAAAATACCAATAACTTTATAGATTGACTATTCACAGCCAAGTTAGCAGAACACCACACTGAGTTATAAATATATCATCAAAAGAAAACTGAAAATCTGCTTGGAATATCCCAGTGATACTAGGGCTGCCTCTGTTAGAGCAGCTTACCTTATTTGTAGTGCTGTAACAAGTCTGGTGGCTAATTAACCCAACAAAGTATTTCAGATGCCCATAGCACATGGCTACTAGTGGTGATTGCATTGTCAGATGGGAGAGGTACTGGACTGGTACATTCAGTACCTTTTATTAAGCATTTTTAGTTGGCTGATGTGTAGACTGATTTCTCGTTCCTTTGAATTTTCCATTATAATTTCATTGTTCAAGTGATTGAAAAATAATTTGCTTTGGTTTTGCCATTTTGGACAGTAAAATTGTGTTTAGCTTCTAAAATCTGTACAGTGCAGAGTCTCTCATGAGAGGCTCAGGGAGTGAGGAGCAGAAGAGGTCACCTTTAACAAGTGCCACTGACAGCTCTGGAAGAGCCGTTGCTGCATAGCTGGGACAGTACCAGAGATTTCCCCTGTTTTTATTTCCCTGTTAACTAAGATAACAATTTAATTCCTTATTAATACATAAGAGGCACATGTCAACTGATGCCACAAGTAACTGCTGCTGTAAAGGAGACACCTTCACCTGTGAACTGCCCCTCAAGTGAGTAATGAGAGGCTGTGTTTTCCTCTTTCACATTGCTGCAGTCCTGCCTAGCTCAGTAGAATACCAACAACTCTTTTGTCATCTGTTTTAAAGAAACAAATATTTATTTTATTAAGGTGCTTGTCTGATGCTCCTTAGTGGCACTGTACACTTCACAAAGCAATAACGTTTGTCTCCTATTGCTAAACAAAGTATTCTATGAAAACCTAGATGTAGCCGGAATGAAAAGAGTGCTGTTTACTTTCAGTTCTATCGTTTACAACATCGTTAGTTGTCATGCAAACATTACAGAAGTGTTTCTACTATAATCTGCAGTCCTCAGGACTGTTTGCAGCTATACATTTAATTAAGAAATAGGTTTATTACCATTCCTGTCTTCCTGAGAGCCAGCACTGGGTTTCAACCAGGTATGGGGCTCAAAAAACCTGGTCTGAGCCATTTTGACTGTTCAGAAGGCTCATAAACATCCTGATGCTTGCACACGTACATCAGTACTGGCCATTTTGGACAAAACGCCAATGTACAGACAGAGCCCATTCAGTCATTCCAATTAAGGAACTGTCATGTAAAACCAGGCAGCAGATCATGCTAGAAATTCTGTTGAACTTACCCTACAGAGTGCAGCAAACACCCTTCTTAAAGTTACATTTTACATTAATTAGGTGTTGTGATTTCTCCTTGATAGTGACCAGCTCAGTGCACATATAAAAATCATCATGTGAAATGAAGCACCAGCTTTTGAGTACATCAGTTTCTCTGGCAGCCTCAAAGTCACATATCCTGCTGGAGTTGTTCAGCATCTTTTTGAGTTGGGTCAGGATTTATGAACATGCTGTCTTGTCATCATCCTGATAAAAGCAAGGCCATTATGTTCTAGTCTTCCCTTTCTACACTGCACTTACTTATTTAGATAAAAAGAGGGCAGGACATGTGCTAATGAAAGGGGTGAGAGATTAAAATCCTTTCATGGGAAGCATTCTCTGGCAGGCTTGTAGTAGTAGTTGGTGAGGCAGTACTCACCAGCATCCATCTGAATGTCTAGGTAGCTCTGATTAGTTCACATGGTACAACAGAGTATTAATGATTCCTGCATTACAAATCAATTATAAAAATAAAAAAATGACAAAAGATCTTCCAAATACAGTATGTAAACATACCATGTAAAAGATGACTGAATAAAAGGGTGGTGCCAGACAGCTTTCCAGAGTCTGCTGTGAGTATTCTCTCTCAACACTTATTTCACATTATGCAGTAAAGAAGATTGTGTGGAGGAGAGTTACCTGTGCCGCATTGCTACAATGACAGTATTAAATTCTCTGTGGTAAGTGTAATTGGCAGAAAAGAGGTAAAGCTTTTCCATAGACAGCATCAAGCTGCTCCTGGCCACCCCTCTGGACAGGCATGAGGTATTAGTAGTGTTCTTGGTCACACTGAAACATCATCTCCAGTCTTCAAAGGTAGGTGTTAAAAATCTGCTGTCATTCAGCATTTCATCTTGGCTTAACATCGTCTGAAAAAAACAAGGTATGAATGAATAAGCATGTTCATTTAGAGGCCTGTGGTTAAACAAATCCAACTGCAGTGAGATGAGATTCACAACAGAGGGGGTTAGAGACACATCAAATTAAAAGGAATTTCTTAAATGTAGCTTTAAATGAGCTATTGTTTGCCTTAGGGGACTCTCTCAAAGATCTTGTGTTGCATGTTACTCTGCTATGTTATGTAATTCTTCATTATACCTTTCAGTCCACCTTTTAATTAGCTGCTAATTAATTAAGTCAGGAATTAGTGGTAGTTGGGATTTTGTTTTTCATTGAGTTTTTAGCTCATGTAAATTTCCTAGTCTGTATCTCTTTGTGACTGAGGCATTCAATGGTGGTTACTTAAAAAAATCCTTCGAAGAATTGTTTTCATTTAAGGGGATGTATATCTGTCATTGAGTTAAGAGATAGAGGAGTTCATGAAAAAATAGGCTTAAAGGAAACTTAATTTCTAGTGGAATTAATAAGCAGTGTGGTTTTGGACTGTGAATGTGCAACCAGGCTCTAAGAGGTTAACTTACTCTTAACTACCACCAGCAATGACCAGCTTGCACTGAATTCCAGCTGAATACATTTGTTACTTTAAAACAAGAATGGATTAGTACATACCGTAAGATGGTTTATGCCTTGAGAAAGAGCCCCTATTTGCGTTACTGTTCCTTCTGAATGTTCCATCTGTAAAAGTATTCAGGAATGAGTTCAAATCAGTACATGCAATTTTATTCACTCTCTGCATCTTTGGGAGGTATCTGTGCCTGGACAAGTGAAGTTGTGGGACGTTTAAAAGTTCCGATTTCTGCACGGTCATTAAAAAGCCTCCATGCTAAAAGGTATGTGAGACGCATTTAACTGTAGGAAGAGTGAATCCTGGTCAAGATGATGGACTGATTTTATGAAACTTGAGCTTTAATTTGCAGAAGGAAAGAAAAACCTTAACTGATACTGTCAATAGAGAATAATGTTTTCCTCATGGTGTAACACTTCTTATATTTCTGGCAGTTGTCTCTGACAGGCAAGAAGCAGAGTCCTTCATGATGCAGTCCCACCTACCCCTTGGATAAAAGGTTACCACTTATAGGGAACTGAGATTTTCCCTGCATGACTCCATGCTCAGAAGTCCCACTTTATTGAAAGACCATGCTCCTAGAGGAAAATCCAGGATTTTGGTACTGCCTGAACAACTGCTTAGTGTAAGCTCTTGGCTCAAAGTTACTGCAGTCACTTGCAAAACTCTTCACTGTGCAAGCACAAATCCATGCTCAGTTACATTCAGGATCTGGTACTGGCCCTCCTGAGGAACAGTACTTCGTTTTACTATGGTAAAACTTTCAATTAATAAAGATAATGGTTAGGTGAAGAACACAAATGATGAGATGTTAGATGCAGGAAACCATGCAGATGAAAAATAACCTTCACAGTTAGTCTTTTCAGTTTTGTGACCATTCTCTTATCAGTCTTAAATTGCTTTTATCTATCTCATGTCAGGCACCACTGAGATAGGGCAGTTCACCCCAGCTGCCCCGTCTGGCTCTTGTGTGTTGATGAAGTTCACACAAGGCTCCACGAGCTCCATTTTTCAGGGTTTACATCCCTTTACACAACAGCAAAGTTGAATAAAATTTGATGGGTTTTCGTCTTCCTCATTAGTCTGTGTGATGTCTGGAGAGTTTCATACACAAGTTCACTACTACATAAGAAAAGTGAATTATTTCAGTACTGGTTTATTAATAGTCTTGTTCTATGTATTGTTTTCACATACACCTCTTCTAAGCAAAACTACTCCCTGCTGTACATAATGAAAGAAAAATTCAGTTGGATTCTTTGAATAATGTCCATTAAAAATATACAGTCCACTTGTTGTTTAATATATAACAACTTGATACCTTTGTACAAATGAGTCCAAAAAACTTTATTACATTTAAAAACCACCCATAAAGATCAGGCAAAAAATAGTGTGCCATATTGAGATTATGAAAGCTAGAAGTACAAGTCGTGTGTTTCCTGCCACCACCACCTTAATTGTCAAAATACATTAATCGTCGTAGTGTAAAGGTGTCATATACCTGAAAAAGGGCTTGAAGATAGATGAGTTTATATGACATTGATTAAAAAAATTAACCTGACATTCTTAGGACAGAACTCTTTTTAGTGTCCACCGCCAGTACTTTCTCAGTAAAAGTTCATGCGGATGCAGCAAATACTTTGTTACATGCTAACGTTTGGTTATTTGCAAGCTTTGGAATGCATGGAGAGGATGAGATGAGATGAGAATGGCATCAGTCTGTCTGTCCCACCTGATCCAGCTCCCTGTCAGTGATGGGACTAAGGCCTTTGTATCCACCATAGTTTTTCTGAGAACCATTTGTAGCACCTGGGTTTGTATCCATAGGACAAATGTAGTCTGTTGATTCATCAAATTTCTTTTTCCTTAAATTTCCAAAATGTGAAAATCCAAGTTTCTTTGGCTAAAACAAGAAGACAACAGAGTAAGTAAGTTTTGAACAAGAAAAATAAGGTTGCCCTTTAAACATTCAACAACCTCTTTTTTCTTTTTTTCTATCTATTGCTATACCACTGTAGTCCTTGAAGTATGTAGATTCTGAATTAAATCAATTTGGTTTTAAAGCCAGAGTTATTTATAGTTGATGTTAAGTACATTTAGGTAGTGTTCCTTCTAAGAAAAGATGGAAGGTAAAAAGAGACAGTGGGATTGCATGATTATTTCAGGAGCTGATTTAAACAGATAAATATAAATTAAATGCTTCAGTATCTAGAATTAAGGAAAACATAACACTACTCCTTCTAGAGCTGACCTCTCCCTGGCCCATATTTGTTCCTTATTTTCTCTACAAGACAGGAGAGAGGAAGTCTGAAATTCCCAAGTACTTCCCTTTTGAAAGCAGGACATACCCGGACTTTGGCGGTGGTGGTCAGAGGTGTGTATGCTGTGGACTCTGTTATTTCTCTCTTTTCTTGTTGAGCCTCTGGTCCAATTAATACGTTGAAATTGGTCGTCAGGTGGCGCCGCAGCAGAGTCTTCTGAGGGGGAATATTCAGCAGCATCGCCAGTGTGTCACCATTGAAGCGAGGCTCCAGAAGCTGTTAAAATATTGGCAGAATAGGGATTTTTACATGGTTAAATATTTGCAATAATAAGCCATTACAGTACTTGTCAGAGGAATTTGTCATTGCTAAGCTGTCTACATTAGGCCTTTTATAACTCACTCATACAATACTCACTAGGGTTTGAATGGGAAATACATGAATGTGGACACTAAGAGCTGAGAACTTGATTGTATTTATATTTATCAGCAAACCTTATATTTGATTGGATTGCATGAGTTTTCAGAATTTTCTGCCCTAGAGTATAAACTGACAAAATAGCACATATTTTTCTGTTTCATTTTTGCAGAATTTCTACAGCACTAGAATCGGTATTTCAGAAGTGTGACTTTATTAAGCTGCAAACAGTTCTGAATATTTGGAATTAAACCCCATCATTCCTGACTGCCAGCAAGACTGCTGTGAGTTCAGGACATCATTTACTGTGGCACAGAATTCTAGTAATACCACTCCAAGAAACACTTGATGATTCTTTATTAAATAAGTAACTTTCCCACGGTACAGTTTGGATTTTGGTTGGTTTGCTTTTTAATGTACTGCTGTTAGACACTCATGCACAGCTCACCTTTCATTATAAAACTTGTTTTAGCAGTTCCTTTTTATTTTAGCTTTCCTTTATAAAATTAAGACTCATGGATCAAATAGGCACTTTACAAGGCCTGATCATGCTGTTGTATCACAGATAAAGCTGTTTCCTCCAGCTGGACAAACACCAGGTAAAACATGTTTTATGTTACAGTCTGTCAGTTTTCAGTGGATGTGTAGTAAAATGTTAAATGTGAAGAAGTCTTACAATCAGGGCACCATGCACTCCACTTCCTCGAAGGTTCGGTGCGTATTCTGCCAGGTCGACTGATCTGAGCCATTCCATCACTCTGTGGTTGGACCACTGAACAACTTCAGACGGTGAACCGTTACTCTGCTGAAGTAACCAGAGGTCATGCTGACACTGTAGCCTGTATTATCACTGCGCATTCACAACATGTGCCCTTAGTTCACATAAAACCATTGCTCCTCCTCTCCTTCAAAGAAAGAGCAGCGTTTTTTCCCTAGATTCTAAGGTATTGTTCTGGATCAAGCTGAAGCCCCATACATTGCATCAAGTAATATAACAGTAGAGACCACAGACACCAGGTATAAAAAAGGGAGCATTTTGAGAACAATATTATTGTCAGGCTTTAATACTAAATGAACAAATTACGGTGACTTATTGTCAGGTTGTAATACAAAATGAATACGGCTAACCAGGTAAGGCAAAAACCTTACAGTCTTTGAGAGTTAAAAATTAGGAGAGGCAAAGAAAAAACATTCCAAATTACTATCTATCTCAGAAGTTGAATTAACTTCTAAACAATGATCTATCAAGGGAAGTGCATGAGATCAGCTAGTAAGTGGCTCAAGCACTTTAGGACTCAGTAGATTTTTCTTAATGCCTCATCCTGGCAGTGTTCAAGGCCAGGTTGGACGGAGCCTTGGGTGGCATGGTTTAGTGTGAGGTGTCCAGGCCCATGGGAGGGGGATTGGAACTAGATGGTCTTAAGGTCTTTTCCAACCCTAACTATTCTATGATTCTGAGATTCTATTATTGGTGAGTACATGTTACATTCCGAGCGGGAAAGCAAGCAGCATAACTACTGCTTTAGGCGCAACTCCCTATTAGCAGTGATTCTACTGTATCCTTGCACTCTTACCTCTTCAACTGGTCTCCTGCGTAGACAGTGGGGGTTGAAACCGTTGATGTGCAGCACATGAATGGCACATTTAATACTCAGGTGATGCAGCTGACTGGTGACTTTCAGAAAGAGAAGGTCGTTCTGTGAAGGGGAGAGCCCTTTAAGTGGCAAAGAATACATACCAGAACAGGTACTTTCCCCAGGAAGAAAGACGTTAAGCTTGCTATGTAGTTTTACCTAGAGACGAGGCTGTACTTCTGAAACCAGCTATATTAGGCATTTTTTTTCATAGCACAGTTAACAAAAACAATTACCAGCTGTAAGAAAACACAGTGGCTATGTGTGGTGCTGCTCATGTGATTGGAGCTGTACCATTTACTGGATTTGCTGCTTATCTTTAGCTTATTTAATATTGCTAACTAACTTGGTGAGGAGAACAATGAACTCCTGAAGCTGCATGTAAAATAAGTCATTTTTACCTGTAATCATGGTGTGATACATGGCACTGAAAGAAAGACTGTGGAAGTTAGCTATAGCATATCCTGTGACTTATTTTGTGTACCTTAGGAACAGTAATTATGCATCAGACAACACAAATGAGCTACTATGGGCACTATTTCCATCTTGCAAAAAATTCTTTAAGTGCTCACATTCAAAGGAAAATTGTAAAGTTCTTTGCTTATTCTGAAGTTAAATTTGGTTAAACTGAGGGAAAAAGGATTTTTAGCTTACCACAGTTAAGTACTGCAACATTCTCCCATCCACTCTGGCTTCATGAAACTGGTCTTTGTACTGAGGTAAACCAATGTCATCGAGCCATCCTGCAGGTAGAGGAACAACAGTGTACCCAAATCCAGATAAGTGAGAATGAAGCCCTTCTCCCCTTCCTGTCTTGGCTGGCTTCTTCTGAGGCATTCAGTTAGCTCCTTCTACCTGTTCACCCTTCCAAAGATCAGCCTCTCCCCAGAAGCCTGAAAGCATTCCCATCAAACAGTTCCATCCACAATACCCCCGTGATATTCTACACACAGTGTGTGAGAGATTGCAGGGAAGTAAATGTGGGGGCTCAGTCTAGTGACAGAGTTCCCCTTGGAAGATTGTACTGTAGGGCTGTATATTTGGATGTCAAAAACAACACAAAATCATCATTCTACCATGTTAAAACTTTGTGCTCTTAAAAAGATACCCGGTAACTACTTAAACACATACTGGGCAGCCCTTCAGTAGGTGTGAGGGAAATTGCTTTCCAAACCAGTCCAGTTCAAACACTTACGTGTCACCCAGATATGATCAAGCTGTGCAGACTTCTCATCTTGTTTTGCATTTATTGATTTAATGGCCAAAACTAATTTCTTCCTGTGCAGTGGATGCTTTATTCCCATTTCCTGCAATAATAACCATTAACAAATATTTTGCCTTGTCTCTTGCTCTTTTCATCTCATTAGGTATCTGCAACTATTGATACTACATATCAATACGGTAAAGCTGCCAATTGTTTGAAGAAGCCTGGTTGTACGGAATCAATATGTATGGCTGCTAGAGGGAAACAGTTATAGAATATTACCTTTTCCATGTCCTGAGGTGTCGCAGTCAACAGCATATGACCTGAAGTCACCCACTGCCGTGCAAATATGACGTACTGACCAAGACCGAAGTCCTCAAGCCAGTTACAAACTCTTTCAGTGCTCCACTGAGCAAATGGAGCATTGTAGTCACTGAAAAGCACAAGAAATGTGTGGAAAATCTTGAAGAACAGGATAATGGTTAGCGTCAGAAAGCTGATTGTGCGCCAGGGGCAGTACTGCAGCACACGTTTGTTACCGTGCTTTGGCTTGTGCAGTACTGAAAGCCAACAACCACTCTCACAGCACGGGTTGTGGTACTAGTGTCCTGTTAATCTGCCTGCCCAGCCTCAGCCTGTGAATGACTGGGGGGGGGGCAGTAAATTTCTATTTGAAAAGAATGGGAATTGCTGAATCCTGAGCACTTTACAGATATTCCCACAGGAGATGATGACAAATTAGTTTTCTTGTTCTTTACCAAGGTGTATTTTTTGACACTCTAACAGCAGCTAGCGCTGCAACCTGCAGCTGAAGGAGCACAGATGGGGAGTGACTCAGGATGCATTTTCTACCAAACAAATTCTTTCCGGTTGTGTAATGAAGCACACTGGGGAAAACGTATTTCACAAGGGCAGGGTCTGGCTGTTGAGCACATTTAAGAATACCACGTGATATGCTGTGAGAGGCAAAGAGGAACCATTACCTTTTCTGGCCTTTGGTTTCCTTTGATCTGGACAACCGAGGCCCAGCTGTTGCACGGAGGCCGCCTCTTCGAAACTCTGCCAACCCCAGGTCGTCTGCAGGGAAGTTACCTGACTGAGTTCTTCTTATTCTTTCAAGACAAGAGTGCCACAACAGTAGTATTAGCTTGCAACAGAGAACATTTGGTTGTATGGAAACTATAGTGACAACTAGAAGTTGTATTAATCTCCCTGTAAACCACAACCACCCAGTTCACATGGTAGATGCAGAAATTCAGGCAAACCCTGTCTAGAACTAACTCTGAGGAAATAAAAGAGCTCTGCAGAGCAGCCATCTGATTTTTAAATCCAGTTACTGATCCACCCTGCAAGCCAGACCTGTAAATAACTGTCTGCTGTCCTGAAGCAGGAAAATCGAACACAGTAACCCTCAGTCCCCCTGCTATTTGTTTCTTCTGTTCTTTCTCATTTTTTTGCCCAATGCTTTCTGTAATGAACAACTTAATATTATTTTTCATAGCTAAAGGAACTGGTGACGTATTAAATTATTAGCATTAAGATGATAGCTTATTTCTTCCAACAGCACAATGTTGAAGACAATACCACCCACATGTACACAGAGACACACTGGTACAATCACACAGCTGCTTTCTCTCCTGTTCCTAAATCTTACTTTTGCAGCTCTTGCCGAGAACTGTATTCATTCTCAGCCAAAATGCTTTTACATGGAACTAAAAGAAAAAATGACCATACTTTCCCCAGATTTTCTTGATCCCTTTTGGACTCTTTCTGTTTTCTGGAGACAATGGAGATTGTGGGCCTGAATCCGTTCCCGAAGAAAGAGGTGAAAGGTCATCTGAGACCACTGTACCATCCACGTTCTCTGTGTCTCCTGGGTTAAGAACAGCAATATATATAAACATTTTATACAGACTGTTAACAAAGTTGTTATCTGGGAAACTAACGTTTAAATGCAGAACACAAAAAAGGAAAGACTTCTAGAAAACTTCATGTATAAAAGCCCCATGCTCAGAAGGTGAAAAAACATAGCCTGTATATTTGATACAAACAGAAAGTAATAAAATATTGTGTACACCAGTATTGTTAGTTCAGTTGTTTGTACTTAATTCCATCATTTTTATTAATTTAAGATCTTCAGACTGAAGCAGGCTCTTCAGACTCTTGCCTTGCCTATTCTTAACACCGTAACTCCTCCATCAAAGTTGGAATTTTTCTGTCAACTTCAGTGAGAACAGAATGAAAGCAGGAATAAGTATTTTAAAAAGAAATCCCATCCAACTGCAACGCAGCAAAAGCTGTTACTTCCATTCAGCACTGCACTTCAGGAATTCAGTGTGGATGGCCCACGTGGTGTTACTATTTCATAGAGAAAGGGAAGAGGAAAGGAAAAAAGCAAGCAGCAAAATTCACATCAACTTTAATTCACATTAAAGTTGCATCTTGTTTGGATACGGTACCTAGCACTGGTGCACTGACACTCCTGATGCGATCTTCAGTCATCCCAAGAAGCAGAAAGCCAGATGAAGAAGCAAAGAAGATATAAAACACCAGCAAAATAAAGTTACAGAAGAGCAAAGAAGTCAGCTAAGCATTAAAAGCAGAAACGAAAAGAAGCAGTTATGCTGCTTGATATGGAACTGAATACGCATCGGTGTGCACAAGCACCAGTAATTCTGTACGATCACCTAGAATAGATAGGGATGATCATTTATCTGTTGTTTGTGGAGTCTGGATTTTTTATGAACTATTCTGAGACCATTTTAATGCATTAAGCATGACCTACAGAGCTCCACAAAACCTGCAGAATGTCTGAAATTAAGCTATGTCTAAGGTTACACCAAATTCCTCTGAAATACAGAATTAGAGGTTTAAAGGTTTGCTTCACATGCAAGAAACAAACCAACCTGCATAAAAAAAATGTTAATGGATAATACTGCAGTTAAAGATATAGTAGCATGGCTCCTGCATTGCCTACGATGTTGCAATCACAGAAAAAACCCTTTCAAACAAACCCTAAACAGCCCACAGCCTATTGCAATCTTGAACCTACAGGCCCTGGCAGCTTTTAGGACCATAGGGCCTTAAATAAAACCCAGCAAACAAAAAGCTGCCAGCATAATTTTTAAAGTGTAGACAAACTTCAAAATCACAAGTGATGCTCGTGTGTTCTTCAGCCCTTGGCAAATAAATACCTGGCTCTCTGCCTTGCTGTAATACTTTCTATATTGCAGTATATCCATGCTCAAGATGTCAATGAAAACAAATTAACACAGGCTTCCACACACAGCTGTGGTTGTGAACTAACAATATACTTGCATTTCGAAAATCCGCCCATGATTTCCTATACCTACTAAGTCAGTTCTTCACTTGTGGGTCCCCACAAGTTCCAGCAACCAACAGTGCAGACACTGGGATTTTTGCCTGAAATGTGCACGTTAGTGCTAGATATACTGTGAAGTTTCACCCACTGAAAGGCAGCAGAATCGCAGGGCGTGGGTTGGTTTGTTTCACTTAATCCATCAATGTAACATACATTTGTTAAAAGGATTGATGGTGTGCCTGGCTCTGCATTTGTGTTTGCTTGCTTTTTAAGAAAGTGTCAGCAAGCTCAGGGGAGCATTGGAAGTGTGATGGAAAAAAAACACTGCTTATTCATGTTGCTAATATATTTGCATCTCTAGAATTTCCATTTCTTAGTTACAGATATGTTGTCTTTCAGAATGCTCTCCCCACAATCTCCAAAGCAGTCAGTGTCTCTTCATTACTTATGCTATTAATGATGTCAGCAAATTCTAACATCAAGTGCAACAGAAAAGAACATTCTAAGTTTAAGCCATCCTTTAACCTCCAAGTAAGCTGATGTGGTATATATTAGGTACAAAAAAGAAGTAGAACTTTCCTTAAGTACATCACCTGAAGGTCACAGTTTACTGTTCTGGTATAGCAGATTATACACCATATTATGTCCTAGCTTCTCAGTTTGCTTTTCCCCCTCTCAGCGAGGTGTAGATACATACTCAGGCCCAGAAAGCTGCTGTCCTCAGAGTCGTTCACACCAGACCCATCTGATGAATTACATGTTCCCTGCTCTCCATTCTGCAGGGGTCGAGGCAGCTTCCCTGGCAAGGTTTGGTACTTGCTGCCTTTTGCAAGCGGCTTACTCTGTTGTTTTTTAAAGAGGGAAAAATAAGTAAGTACAGAATCAAATCACAGCATTCGCAATCCAGTACACAGGAATTTAAAAGTTGAGGAAAAAGTACTTGAACCCAAAATGGCATCACCCACTCCACGTTCCTGCTTACAGATCACTCATGTTGAATCTCAGTTACTTGGCTGTTTTCTTGCTAAGACACTGCCTTCTCTTCCCCCATCTGCCTCTCTCCCCCCCTTCAGCCAGACTGTCTATTACAATATACAATATATGTTGAATGTTACCTGGTTTCATCATAAGGACCCAGCACTATATATAATACCTTGGTCCTTCCACTTTGATAGTGCCAGAAATGCATTTAGTCACTTCTCAGATCATTCTTTGTGCTATCAATTATTACCCCTCTTTTTCACCAAACTGTTTCTGCCTCACAATTGTATCTTGCTGGAATTTAAGCCAAAAAAAGTATTTGTGCAACTCAAATTTTGTCAAACACTTTTGCCCACCACCACTAACAAAAGAATCAACAATGAAGTTGGGGTACAGAAATTTAACTCTTGTAAGAGCCAAGATCTCTTTGTATAGATAAAAAATAGTTACAGCTATAGTTGCCAAATATATAGCTAAATACATAATTTATTATAGAACCTAAGCACAAGGGATACTTTTGATATTTGATAAAAACATAGGCTGAGCTGTATTTTAGGGCTAGTCTGAATGGCTGCTCACTGACCCTTTTGTCCATGTCAGGCTAAAAGAAGTGCCTAACATGTGCTTGCCTTCATGTATTGTAGGTACACAAACACAGTGCTACTAGCATCAGTGAGATTACTTATGTTGGAAGGACCTTCCCCCAGCCACACAGCTCCCAGGGGGTGGTCCTCAAAGCCTCAGCATATCATATGTAAGGGGAACTGGTATGTAGGCTTTGCTAAAAAAAGAATATCTCAATTTTCCTTGCATTCAGTTTTTCAGTGATCAGTTACTTGGGATCTTGATCCTTGTACCAGGGTAGATGAGAACTTGCACATAAATCTGGGAGTTCTGAGCCTAACGAGATATGTAACAGCATTGAGAGACTTTTCCAATACTGAATCCAAATTAAAAGATACATCCCACAACTGTCAAAGCAATAGGGATACAGAAGTTTTTCCAGAAGAGCACTGAACCTGCAGCTCCAGTCAAGGTCAGTGGGAGTGGTGTACATTCAGTGTGTGTTTGGAATAAGCTCATACTGGTAAATGGTTCAGTATCAGAAAGGAGGATAACTTTGAACTGAAAATACTCAAAACATACTTAGTATACAGAAACACAGACTATGCTCCTACTTAGTAACCCCATTCTAACATAATTGTTTTAAACCATTTAAAACATTGTCCGGGAAAGGATGATATATGAAATATTTAAACAGATAACCACTTGTTTATCTATTCTTATTTCCAGGCTTAGAGGAATCTTTGTGATGCTGTAATTGCAGGCCTCAGTTCTCCTGTTTTGGCAGCTTCAGGAGTACATCCTGACTTGTAACAAAAACTATACAAGTACAGAAACTGCTTCTTACATTAGCCCAGTATTTTCTGAAATTGCCTGACTTCAGCTTCTAGCCAACCATAAAACCTTTTAGATTAAAAAGAAGAGTTCCCTCTCAAATTCTTACCCCTGTTCTCAGAGTCTGTCAGTACTGGAACTATGCAAACATTTTAAAAAGTAAAATGAACATAAAATTAAAACAGCATATCGTCACAGCACGCCACAACAGACAAATGTTAAGAGAGTTGACAGTTAATATACCTCTTGTTCTACAACACGCTGTACTGGTTTTCCGTCTACAAACTACGGAGTTGCAGGGAGGGTAATTTCAAAGTTTTATGGAAAAAAAGCAACAGACAAATGTTAGTATTAGCATACATACTCAGAACATCAATTGTAGTCTTTTTGCTATAGTGATGCTACTTAATGCATTGCCAGCATATTACAAGGTCTGTTATCTCTTCATTTCATTTCATTTCAATAATATATTTAAATATTAAATGTGGTTGTTCAAACCACTCTACAAAATTCGGGCTGGTTCTGTTGTGAGCAAAGGAATTTTTCTACATTTTAGGCTTCTGGGTGATTCCTCTAGACTTAACTTTCAGGTGGGAACATGACAGCTGTTTAACAGTTCAAACAATATGAAAACGAATGATAGAAAGAACAAACGCAATACTTTATGTATGGAAACCATAAAGAGCTGAGATAGAAAAGAGGGGATAAGAATATATGACATGGCTGGTCAGAGACACCAGTGTGCTGTATTTTACTTTACTTTAATTTACATTTTCATTGCTCTACATAACTGCAATTTGAGCTTTGTGCAAAACAGAACAGCTCCAGTAAGCAGTGCTGCTTGCACATGTTCTCTTGGATTTAATGCAAGGAAGCGAGAAGTCTCGCTGAGTCAGCAAAACAAGTTTCTTCTTGTGGTTGTAACTAATTCACATTTAGCCACTCACTCCTAGGCACAGGGAGGTCTCAGTTATTCCACCAAGAAGCCTCATGCCTAAATTAGAATGTGGGCTGGCTTGCTGCAATTCTCTCATATCCTTGGTAGTTTCTTGCTCCCCGATGGACTGTGATTTAACCGACAGAGCAGCTTTACAGCCTAAATGCGTAGGTATAGCCTTATCACACCATGGCACAGAGACAAATTAATTTTTTGAATGCTGACAGGAAAATAAAAGTTAGGAAGAGAAAACAGACCTTCATAAATTCCACATGGAATGAATGTTAGTTCTGAACTGATCTGTCACATGTATAACCACAATCAAATGGATGCAACACAAATTTCAAACATTCCCTTTGGTTACTGTCATCTTCACAGATTTAAGAAAAAATTAAGAATTTTAAGAACTGAAACAACCATCATTCTAGTATCTGTTTTAAATGGCATTACTGGGTGTGGATAATCCAGTATTAAGCCTAATTTGAGTACAGACAGCGTCAATAACAGTCTCAACGCATAATTACAAGTGCAGAGAAATTTCGGGTTAGAGAATGACAAAACAAACCTCTGGACCATAATGTAATGAGACTTTTTAAATTGGAGACTCATTATTTTGGAATGGAAGTAAGCCCTTGAATTAGTAACAGCGCCCATCCTGTTTTAACCAAGCCAGCATCACTGCTGTCTTCAGGAATGCCATTTATATCAGAAATCTGAGTTAGGGAATGATACTCAATATTTACATGCAAACACTCAAAAATTCAATCCTATGTGGAAATACCCTGTCCCAATCTTTAATTACTTTCAGCATTTGTTGCCTTAACATTTTTAACTATTTGGAAGTTGAAATTATTTTTAAAACTCTTACCTATAAACAAAATACTACTGCAAAAGACTCCTCATTATTTCTTGTATTTCTCTTAAGTATTTGTCTTCTCTTTCAGGTGAAAAGCTGAATTTGAGGATGCGTATGTATGGTGTGTCAATCTGAGGATGCGTATGTATGGTGTGTCAACTTGTTTGTTTATTCTAAGCTTGAATATGGGGTAAGAAAAACATGAACCGTTCGATCATGAGGGCTTTTTCCCACACATACAATGTCAGTGGTGGTTAGGGCTACTGTATGTGAAACAAAAATAATATTTATACTTGACCTTTACCTTTCAGTCATGACAACACCAGAAATCATCACTGTAAATAAACCAACCTTTTCCAGGGATTCGCTTTGCAAGTCTTCTAAACTACTTGACTTTTTTTTCTGTGGAATCCTTAAAATAGTAACAGGCAAAAAAAAGCAATAGTTGGTACAGCACAGTATGTTTGCATATGCCCCTACTGTATCATATGGCAGCCATATATATCGTATGTCTGCATATAACATAATGCCGAGCTAGGAGATTCAGTTGTTGCATTTTTAGCCTAAAACACATGGTATTGGGAATGGCAATAAACAAAATCAGAAAGAGCATCAAGACATCCTTTGGTCAACAAAGAAAGGCAACAATGTGCAGTTTTAAACCTTTTATCTACAGGTGACTTTTTAAAGGCTCTTAACAGTACACAGACAGTAGTGACTCTGTGAACAGTGTGCAACATTGAAGGGTTTTAAAACTGGAGAAGGGCAGAAATATAGATATAACATGCAGCCAGAATTTTTTTTTATACATTTCAATTAAAGTTACTCATTCTTACCTGCTGATGATTTCCAGAGATTCCTCTTGTGGACAGGTTAAATTAGTTGAAGATACTGGAATGCTTCCACTTCAAATCAGAATAAAACATACTGGTTTAAGTACTACAAGTATCTTTGGATATATAAAAGTGCTAATTTATTCCTGCAATTCAGACCTTATACAATTAAGTACTGCAAACTCCCACAGCAAACCCTGCTTTCACAACTACCCAAAAGTTCTTGCAAAGCCAAGAACAGGGAAGACAACATGCCAGTTAATCAGATTAAATAATTCAAATTTAGGACAATCCACATAAAACACACAAAAAATAAAGATCTTGCCTGATTTCCGTAGCTTTGTGTGGCGATGGAGACAGCACAGCTGGTGATAATTCTCCTGAAGATGCCTATGTAAAATAAAACATACATAAATTTACATTTATGTAAAATAAAGCCTGTAACTCTAGAGCTGGATTCTGGATCTATCATGCCTATACAAAGAATACATACAAAAATTCAGGCAAGGCTAAACCCACATTACTACATTACTTTAGCTACCACAGAGAAACCAAAGCAAACAAATCGTATATATAGAATTTGCTTCTAAAACATCTTTACTAAGTACCTCTGTTTTCAATAATTCTCCTTGAGGATTAGTCAAAACATTCCACTTCCTTAAAGTTGTCTCAAGTTCCTCTTCACTGCCACCAGAGACAGAAGAGCCTGTGACCATTAAAGATTAGAAGTGGAAAGGGAGAGAAACAGGCCAAAAAATAACATTTTAGGACCATATCAGACAGTCTATGTATTTCAGTCTCACAATTCCCCTTCAGCCTTCACCTGATGCATGTAGCTTTCCAGCCTCTCACTCCCCACCCCTGACTTACAAGCAAGCTGATTTATAACAGCAACAAATTTACCACTTCTAGTTATATGACAGGCTCTGCTGTAAGTAGCTGAGCTGATTGAGGCAGCTTCTGAACCACTCTAATACACAGTTTGATGTTCCGAGGCAAGTTCAAGTTGGTACTATTTTCTTACTCGTAGTGTACTGCTTTATAGGTAGTGTGCATGTCTGTATCATAATACAATGTCCCATGCTCTGTTCAAGGATGTACACAGTAAACATGCCTCGGGTTTTTCTGGATATCCCAAATCTAAACAGACACTGAAATACTCCAAATTAATTATTTAGTAGGACTTCAATTCCTGAATTGCCAAAGCTGCAATACTAAATCAGGTTTTGAATATCCAGGGCTCAGCAAAGTTTTGGAGTATTTTGGATAAGAATTTTTTTCTGGAGCTCTCCATGCATAGGATTGCAAACAGGATGTGGAAGGGCTGCTATGCCATGATGGAGGAATTCAGACTGACCTTTAAGCATATTAACAATTCCTACTTTATATGATAGAAGTGCAGCGGGTCTAGGCAGTTTCAAAACACACCAAATCTTATGGTTAAGCCTTGGCACTGTTAACAGAGAGATCACTTGAAAACTCATTAGAGACCAGGTATCATGCTGTTTGGTTAAGAAGACTGGCAACAAAACCCATACTGATTGCTGGCCCTCCAGGATATGGAGTGAAACTTATGCTATGGTTGCTGGTACACAAGAGCGACCTACAGTCAAGTTCAGGGTAGCTCCTTTATATTTTGCTCAACTTTCTGTGGCTGTTTCAAGCAGTCACCCTACTTTAATCCCAGATAATGATTTGAAACAGTTATCAGAGACAGAAGATTTCAACCCTCTGATTCTACCAAAGATTTTCGGCAGAGATTACACATCAAAAGGAACCTTTAAAATACACGTCTAGAAATAATAATAATAAAAAAATAATCAAGCGAGATATTTCTTAGCGCCCTAAATATGAGACTCCTTCAAGCACATGTCAGGTAACAAGCCCATTTGGGCTGTGGTAATATTGTAGCCGTGACAGCATGCACCTCAGTGTGGACAGTCTCTTACACACTCTACTACCTACACAGGTTTGGGGGTTTGGTTTTGTTTTATTATGCTAAGCATTACTGGTTTTTTTTTAGACATTAGACTGTACTGAACTAGCATACATTGATTATACTAGCATACATCATACTCCCTGCAGTACCAACTTGACAATCCAGAGCATCATGACTTGCTCATTGCTCATGCACACAAGTGTCCTCCAAAAGCCATGTCCCATGATGTTACTGGGGCTTTCTGCTGAGAGCACCTACTCTCAGGGTAACAGTGGTGAGTTATCTTGGTGGTTAACATCATGAGGTCTCCAAAAGCTACAATCACACCTTTGGATTTCCCTTCAAAACACTTTCAAGTGAGAGACTTTCTTTTTAAAAAGAACATTCAGAGAGAGATTTACCTGACTCTCGTTCCCTGTTCTTGTGTGTTAAATACAAGTGTCCATTCTGCCGTACAAGACCTGAAAACATCGTGTTTGTTAATGTGATGATGTACGTTTAACAAAACTGTCCTTTCTGAAGGTCTCCCAGAATAATTTTAGTACTGAAAACTACATTGGCAACTTCAAACAAGATTGTCCTAAAAACCTACTCCTCAGTTATGCTGCAGGAAGTGAAATGGGACAAAGATTTTTCCCCAGATTTTGAAGTTAAATATATAATATTGTGTGCACCAAAACAACTTTGGGTTTTCAGTTGCTTCCTGCACACCAGAACTTTTCTAGTCAGCTGTCAGAATTTTTCTTAGTGGAAGGAAAGCGCAAGAGAACTTATTATACTCATTGCAACTTTTGGTTTTTTTTTGCAAGGGGGGTGGAAGGTCCTCCTATGCATCAAATTGCATCTGTGATCAGCTTCCTTTTCATGAATGCCATATAAAAAAATAGGACATAAAAGGAAAACTTTGTCATTAACACTAGCTGGCTTGTAGTTAATCATTAGTGCCATTCCTGAACTGAGCTATGACTAATCTGAATACAGGATGTATTCAATAGATTAATGTTTGTAATCTGCTAAATTCTCCTGATACCATTTTACACTGTAAAAGGCAGTTACTAATGACAGATCACAGGAAATACCATACATACTTATCTGTATACTTTATTCATCTCCTACAGAGTAAATCATTTAAATAAAACTGAATATAATTTTAATTTTGAATAATAGATTGAGAGGGCTATGATGCAATTTAATAAAAATACTGTAAACTTATGCTTTTAGCTAATTTAAATGAACTTTCCTAACTGCCCCTGTGTCAACAAATTCTATGCCTGCACTAGTGTCCTGCTGTTTTCTCCCTCATTTAACACTTTTTGCTATAATTCCTTTTGGTCTGGCCTCTACAACCCATGTACAACCAAGAAGTAGCAACCTGAAGCAGCGAAAAAGGAATTAGGAAGCTTTGAGCATGAAAGACATACATCATAGGTCTGCACTGTGGAAGAGACCTACAGGAGTCCCATCAGTGAGGAGGGGAAGGACTGCATGAAGTAGCTGGCCCCAGCTGTCCACCCACAGCCACCACTACACAGATATAGGAGTTCTGCCACCAAAGCTCCTGCCCCGCTGCAGTATATAGCAAAGCATTCTAAGAAGAGCAGTTGCTGACTTCAGATTGCCTCTCCACATGAGGAGCTGAACCACAGTCTTTAGACCCAACTGATGAGCAGGTCACACAGCTGTACAACCATAGCAGTAAGCTCATCAGTCATCCTTCCTTATCAGTCAGGATCCTTAATGACACTCTCTTAAAAACCACATAGCGCCAAAGTTCAGCTTCAAAGAGGGACTTACTATTAACTTAAATTTTAGATTATGATTTACAGAGTCGAGCATAAGATTCAGTCATAGAAGTCTTGCTTAATAGTAATGTTGCAACTAAATCTCCCATATATTATAGACCCTATTTCTTTTTTTGTACTGCCTACAGTATAGGAAACAAAAAAGAAATCTCCACACACTACAGGCAGTAACACACAAGCCTGGTCAAGATACGCTGTGGTTTTTTTCTTCATCTGAAGGACTGTATACTTACTTTCTTAGCACTCCAGCACAATACATATGTAAATATTACTATGCACATATATTGAAAACAACAACAAACAGCAGTTTTAGCGCATGCAGTTTGAAAAATACCTGATATCAGGAAATTATTCACAAGACATTTTACCGTGAGCTGCAATCATTATCTCTTTGACCCTCCTGTACTGGCTTAGCAACAGTGTTAACTCTTCTATTCGACGGTCCTGTGAGAAGCATTAAATAAAATCCTATTTTAAATCTGACATTTTAAACCAGCAGAAACACTCTATTACACATTTCATTCTGTGATTTTGGACTGTTTTTCCAGAAAGCAGGATCAAGTCTCTCACGTGCCTTGTAAAGAACATTCATTAGCTTTTATCTGCCATTGTACATAGTATTTTCTGTACAATGTGAAATTATGGATATAGGGAAACCTGAGGAGTTTGACATTACTAGTAAAGTAGTTATTTAGAGAAGCATAATTTGGAAATCTGCTTTCACTTCTAAATCAAGGGAATACTCTGGAGTTTAACCTCAATGGCCTGAAGTGGGCAGTGTTTGGGTTTTTGCTAGCACTGTACCTGTAATTGCAAAGTAAATCATGTTTATGTTTTAGGTTAACAGCCTAGTCACATTCTTTAGAATTCACTTGTAGGATATGTACTGCATTCTGACATCTACACTTATTCCTGTTTTGAACACACCTCTTTGAACTTTGGGAGCCAAACTTGTTGATTTTGACTTAGGCAGTCAAACTTGTATAGAACCAAGGAAATGAGGTCTCGTGAATGTCTGCTTCATTTATCCAACTCCACTCTTTCTCCAGCACCTAATGCTTTCCTATTATGTATATAGCATCCTGATTAACGTATTCAGGGAAGGTGCTTGCCTTTTGCAGCTGTAACACAGGGACGGGTAATAATCATTTAGTTAGACATTTCTATATACTATACTGTGACCCAACGATAAGTTCTTGCTATCATCACTAAGAGTGCAATTTTGAAATTTGTACTCTTAGAATTTGTCCTGTTTCTTTGACCACAGTTCTAAACCATTAGTGTGTGATAATCTTGCCCAGTGCTGTGGTAACAGAGCACCAAATGCAAACCCAAGCAAGTAATAAAGAACGAGTTTTCACAAGAAGGTTCAGGAAAGCCACAAAAGCAGAGAAGAGGGCACTAGGAAAAAAAAATAAAAACTTTGTGGGGAAGCTGGCACCTGGCACGTATTTAAGTGTACGGCTGATACCGAGCTGCTGCACTGACACGTCTTTGATTTTCCAGATGTAAATTTTGGCTTTTTGATTTTTTATGAATTGAATGTTGTTATGAGTCATATTAATGTTCTCCAGAATCAACACTGCCTTGTTCAGATTCCCTAGTTACTAAAGAAAGTTTTTAGGGATGCATATTATCATCTATTTGATGATGACAATATACAGAGACAAAAAGTGATGAGACAAAAAACATATTTACCATTTAAATAGGTTTAATTTCATGTCTCCTGGCCTTTAGTAATCTTCATTTTTTTTTATCCTTGTCTCTCTAAATTCAGGTCGCTTGCAAAATTTGAGGCTGATTCAAAGACCACTTTGAATTTCTTTTAATATAAAAACCTAGACTGGGGATACCAATAAACTTCAGATTGCGTTGGAAGATGAAGAGCTATCAGAGATGGCCAAACCTTAATGACCTTTTCAATAGCAGAAGCCAGGAGATTCTGCTCATTGCAGTCTTGGCTTTCTACTCACCTCTGGAATCTAATGAGCCTTCCAAGCTCTGCAGCCAGGTTAGCAAGGTCAGCCACACTTTCTATTTAAAAATCAACCTTCTGTCACAATCTCATGGGATAATCCAAAAATCAGGGCAATACCAAGCTTACAGAAAGAAGGTTATTCAGAACATTTCAGAGATTTAAAACCACCATTTCATTCTTATTATGTAGAATGAGGATTACTTTCTCACCTTTTCCTCATTTGCAGCCAGTAACGATTCCATTCCTATCTTCAACCTTTGAACTTCTTGATCTAAAAATGTTTTGAAAATGTTATAAAGGAAAATACCCTTGCTACTTTTGTGTAAACAATAAGTGTTTTCCGATACTTTCGTTATCTTCTTATGAGTAACCAAATCATGTCAGTGGCATGGCAAACGCACTATCAAACTACATTTAACTTGGAGTTTTTTAAAAGCTGACCTATTGAAAGCACTGCAGAATGAAAACGTGCTGGTTTTGCTTATAAAAGGCTATTCAGTACTATCTTATATTTACTAAAGTCAAATAATGACAAGAAAAAAAAGAAACGCTGAAGCTTATTTTGCGAAAGATGAGAGTGTGTTTGCTGTTGTATATTTAAGTAAATGAAGTATCATTGAAAATTAATTATATTCTGAGAAAAATATTTGCCACCTTATGGGAAGTAGTTCAAGGACATTCATGTAGCTTGGAAATGCAAAATAACTAGTTTGATATGAAGAAAATGTGTTGGGTTTTTGTGTTTTTTTTAAACTTTCTTAAAGCTTTTCAGTATGCCTAAGTTAAAATCTACATCAAGAGCTAATGAATTGCTGTCAAGTGCCTCGCACACAATTTAGTGTCACAAGATAGAGGTTATTCAGGACTGTTATAGTCAAATCAATTCAAACACACTCTCTGAAAATTTGTGAGATTATCACAATCATCCTAACTTTGTGAACTAAATGTTATTTCTCCTCTACACACTCTTCCTACCGAGTCCTCCCGTACCAACCTATACTAAATTGAGTGTAGATGATGGAAACGGAACCTGAAATAGTGTATCTGTTGTAACTGCCACTCATGGTATTCGTGCTTTGACATAAAATAGAGCCGCTTGTTTCACAAAAGACGATGAAAAACAGATGCAGCAGGCATGAAGTCAGAGAAGAAAGAAAATCAGTACTGCTAAAGAGCATCTTTTAAAAATTGGTTTACAACTTGATGTTGAACATACAATGTCACAGTTATTTGCAAAAACAGTTATTAGATTTTCTGTAGGGATTCTGAAAAATACACAGTAATGATTAAGTTTTAAAACATGTAAATTAATCTTGCAAACATTTCCTTTGCAAAAGAGAACACTTACTAACACAAGACATACACACACACAGCCAAATCAAAAACTAAAGCCAGCAGGTATTAGGCAAGCGATTGAAGACTTAAAAAAAAGCCATTAAAATCACAGTCCTACTAATTCCTTTTTATAAATAATAGACTTCAAAAAGAACTGTTGTCAAGGTATTTTTAAGCACACTGAAGCAAACTTTACTCATGATATTTATACCATCATCAAGTATGGAAACATTTTTATTCAGACTGCATTTTTCATTTAATTTACTGCTCTGATTAAAAAAAAAAAAAAAGCCCAAATCCTTCCCCTCTAAGGAAAGATGCTTTCAAACGAAGCTATTTTTCCAGATATTATATCAATTGTACATATGTACAAATAAAAAGAGGCAAAGGTTAAGTTTTGGCTCTGTTAACCTTAACAAAGTCCCTTTGAAGTCCACCTCTCTGATTTGTGAACTTCTATTTTTTCTGAAATGAAATCTTACTAAAAAGGGCAAGTAGCTGTCTGCTTGCCACAAGCAATGAAAGCAATGTCTCACATGTATTACAATTTGACAGCCAAATCTAAACAAACATTGAATTATTGCTGCAGAATGCATCTGAGTTATGATTTGTGTAAAAGGAACAGTGAGATAAAGCCAAGAGTGAATTGCAAGGCTTACGTTTTTCTTTTAGCCTTCTCCTATAAACTTCCTCTACGATGGTAAATGGTGAGGGTCAAATAAAGTATGCAGAAAAAGCACATATTAGATAAACTTTGCAATTTAGTTAGAATTTGCATTGTAGCACACTACAAGTACATTGACATTATTTTTCAACTTTATTTGATAAGACCACTTTAAAATCTGATAATTCAGTTTTGTTTTTTTTTTTTCCAGAAGAATTATTCTGCTGCATATTCTTTCCATTCAAATAGAGTCTAAGTGGTTTTCTTAAATGCAGCCTAAAGAATCTGTACAGGGTTTGATTTTTTTTCCCCACACTGGAACCAAGGACAGTTTTACTCATCTTCAATCTGAACAGGAACAGACACTATTAGAAGTTTAAAGTTGCTGAGCTCTTGATTTATTCCCATACCACTCTCTTTCCTTTGAAATTCCATAAATCATTTGGCAATCTCATAGAAAATACAGAATGCTATCAATAGAAGAGTTCCTATACAAAACACTGCTGTTATGCAAAGTAACTTTCTAGTTAGACATGCAGTTCTCTACATGCACAAGTGCTGCAGCTGAGTGAAATCAGCACCAAGTATATGTTAAGTCACTTCTTTGGAATAAGCAACAGTCAAAATCCAGTCTTCTAGAAAAGACAAATCTGCATTAATCCCTTTAAGGACATTCTTGGTAAGCCCTGGCAGAAAGATAGCCCAGCACCAGAAAAGTCACATCTCAACAAGGTCACTCTTTGGAAGCATTAGTTTACACCCACAAGAGAAGTTAGTGCAGCTAAACTGATGCACTGCATTAAACTACACACAAGTATTTCTGCATGGCTAGGTGGCAGGATATAGAAGAAAAAGGTCACTAATATCATGTTGCTCACAGCCCAGCCATTGACAGAAGCTCAGGGCAGTCAGTATTTCAAGGAACTGAAATTCCATTTCAGATGACCTGCTGAGACCAAAGGCTAAACAAGCTGATTTGCCATTGACTCGTATCAACAGTGCAGTTTTAAATGAGAACCCTGCAGTATCATAAAGTTATAGAACAGCCCCTGAAAGGGACCTTGAAATACTATCTGGTCCAACCTTTAATGGGAGAGGGAGCCTAAATAATGTATAGACTTGAAGAAAGAAAAGACATGTATCAGTGACTATGTTTTAGGATGTTTGGACATTTAAACATTATGCTTAGCTACTACTGTGACAATATTTTTTTCCTTAAATATGGGAACTGTAAAGATTTTTCAAAGAAATTTTGAAGGTATGCACAAAAATAAATTCTCACTAAACTACAATAAATCTCTCAAAATCCAAATAAAATTCCACTAGAAAAAGTTTCAGTGCTGTTGGGATACATATTGCAATTTATCACTGCCTCTAGACTGGGATAGAATTTCACACATTAAAGGCCTCTATCAGAAGACAAAATATATTTGCACTATTTTTCCTCCCAAAATAAATATTCTGGTCTCTCTTTGTATTCCTTTGAAATACTGAGCCAAGCGGCCACCAAAGTGAAATTAAAGTAGGTTTTGGATTTTAAATTTTATTTCTCCTTCTCTTACCTCTTTCTGCCACTTCATTATGTGATGAGGTCCTGGATAGCTGACTTTGTAAGCGTTCTATTTCTGCATCTTTGAGAGCTAATTGCTCCTGAAGCTGGGCTATCTCAGCCTGAAACAGAGTAAACAAATTCAGAATAACACTGTCACCAATGCTCTATGATTCTTTGCCATGAACTAGAAGAGTTCTAAGCATAACGCTTCACTTTGATGTCCCATTCCCGATTCAGGACACTTCATAAACACTATAACAACTGTACATATTTCATGGTGTAACTATCCTATTCCTTCTACAGCAGCTCACTTTTTCCAATGCAATTAGCTCTCAAAGAACAGACTTACAGAAAGGTAACATTTTCAAGGAGTCATGCGGGTAAAGAAACTCTGGAAAGCTCTCAGTGCTACAATGCTGGTCATATATTAACGACTATTATGGGGCAACTCCTGAGTTTTGCATGAAGACCAGTAAAAGATAACAAAGCGTTTTTTGAAAGATCCTGGGTTTTTTATCCTTGTACTGTTTATTAATATAACTGCGAATCTACAAATGCTAAGCCCAATTCTCAGCAGGGTAACAAAATTGTTCTTCCTCACATCAGATACTACAGCAAATAGTCTAGAAGCAAAGTATGGCTTGGAAAACAACACCACATATACCACAAAATACCAACAGTTCATTTACACTTACTGCAAATTGTGCTGCCACTAGAGTGGGATAGAATATCACACATTAAAGACCTCAACAATACAGAGGGAGAAGAATTCTGTGACTGTCCAGCTTGAAATATACTGGCTCTCAACTCTTTTTTCCTGTGAGAAACACTGTCAACAGCATACTTTACTAAGTTAGTAGTTTCATTAAGATTTTCTTCAGCAGTCCTAAAGCCTATCTATATCCACCTTCTGCATTTCCACAGCAAAAGCATAAAAAGCTCCTTGCAGAAAAGAAAAAAAAAAAGAAAAAAATCAAAGAAAAAAAGGAAACAGACAAACAAATAAATCACTTCCATGATCAGTTACTCAAAATACTAAAGGAAAGCAGATCACCAAACAATGGGGAAAAACATGGACTAATTTACTCTAATACAAAAACTTATTTTCACCAGGAAGCAAACAGGTCTGCCTGCAATTCCATATGAAATAGAAGAATCTGCCTTGTTGCATCTCTGAAGGGCTCCTACACTTCCCAGAGACTAATATGCTTTTTATATCCAGTCATGGAAATATTCCAATTCCTCATCTGAGAAACTGGAGCAACAGGAAGACAAAAGCTGAAGACATTTTAATACCAAATTTGGATTTCGCTCCCCTGGTCTATTTGATCTCATAGCTCCTTTAAATGCTGTCTTTTCTTTAATGTCTCATTCCAGTCATCTCTCAAATTATTTTTCTGCTTCCTCTCTCTTTCCCTGTACTTTTCCTCCCTTCTAGACCTGCATCTTCTCCTACTCTTCTTTCTTACTTCACTCCTACGCTTTCCATAATCTTTATCTGTCTTGGCAACTGGCCACAGGCCACAATACTTGAGAAAATATTTTCCCAAAGACTGTTCATATCCCCCACTTCAGAGAAAAAATTTTCATGGATACAAGAGCTATGATCTTAATAGGAAAAAAACATGACAGCAACATTTCATAAAACATTTCAATATTCATCCGAGAATTCTCAGAAGAAAGACATGCTAATGCAAACAATAGCTGTCTGTCATTTCAGGATCAAGCTATCAAGTATTAAAAAGAAAACTCAGTTTAATAATTCAGAATGTTTTTCCAAGATCTATCCACAACTCAGAGTCAGTAATTCATATGAACAGGGATTAAAGTACTACACAAATCAAAGGAGATGCGACTACAGCACGAAAGCGTACAGGGAAAAACAATGAGGCTCTTCTTAATCTAAAAGAATTTTAATCTAAAAGAATGGAAAAGGGCTAAATATTCAAACTAGAAATAAAGTTCAGCGGTTTAACAATGAGAATGTTGAACTAGAAAAAATAACGATTGGGGAAAATAATGAAATGTTTCAGATGTCAAGCTCCTCCAGATTAGGACCCAACAGCTTTCCAGGATTCAAGGTCAACAGAAGGGTAAGGCAGCTATGCACTTTGTTACAGAGGAAGTCAAAGCAGATGATCTAATAGTGTATTTTGGGCTTAATGTCTATTAAAATAAATTCCACACTAAGTGAACACCCAACCAACTTTGCATATCTCTTCAAACTGGAAAGCAGATTCCACAAAAGCTTGTCACCAATACACGAATAAAAGATGGAAAATTTTCAAAGATTTTAAAGATTCAAAAAATTTCCTTACAACAGGTCTTTTGTAAGTCAAAAGGACTTCTTTATTCATTTTTTTTTTAATAACAGCTACAAAAAGGTAGAATACTGGAAACTGATGGGAGGAAGCAAAAAGCACAAAAAGAAACTACAAAAACTTCAAACCTAAATACTCATTCCAAAGATGGCTTAAGAAAACTTGACTCATAGTAGGCCCTGACATAAGGCAATTGTAAGAAGAGTAAATATTTCCCTTTCCAGCTGAAATGTCTGTCATTAGTAAATGCCAAGTATTCTGCTTACTTTAGTTGCTTTTAATTTCCACTCATATTGATTTCTTTCATTTTCCAGTTCTTCCACTTTTATTTTGAGGTGTCTAAGTTCCTGAAGCAAACCCTGCAAAGAAGGAACAGCAGGTGTAAATAAGATTTCTCTGGTAGTTAGTAATTTTTCATAGTCCTGAACTAAAGATCATGCATGAACCACACAGTAGTGAACACTGAACCACCACATCAAAAACCGTGACCTAGTCTTAGAAGACAAAAATCTATTTTGAATTGAAAGATAAGGAATACTTTCTCAAACCCTCCACTTGAAATTATGAACAAATTTCCTATCTGTATTAAGGAAGATAGCTGATCTTGACGAAGTCATGCGTATCTTGGTGAAAATGAGCCAAAAAATCTGCAACTGCAGTCTCATGTAACATCAATTATCACGGTTTTGTTGCAGAGTTAGTTTTATTTGGTTTGTTTTGTGTTTTTAAGTCTCATTTTGTTTTTAAGCCACCTCATAAAGTAAGCAGAAACATGCAGTACTAAAAGACTACCGGACTGCCAAGTTGACAATCCTTGCCCCAAGCAGGTGTTTAAACTGCTTACCAAAAAATATAACACTTAGACAAAATAGTATCTAGCAAGTTACAGGCATTTAATACCATACACATACAGTCAAATACGACCAGAAATATGCTACTTCAACTGTTAATGTTTGCCACTTCGCAAACTGAGTTGAGGTAGCCAAGGGCTGCACCCAACCAGGGTTCCTAGCCTTCTCCTCTGTTCCTCTACTCCTGAGAGATGAAGTTGTCTCTTAAATATCACTCTGACAAGACCAAATGTCTTCAAATGAACTCAGGAAAAGAAAAATTTGGAAGCTTAGCCCAATTTCGGAATGCTGTATAGCATATATATTGAACAGCCATACTAATATCTTGGGTTAAATTATTTTGAATGACTCCCAGATTTGACTCTCATGATTTCTCCAAATGCGGCTTGTAGTATAGTCTAATAGTTCACTAATCAATTCTGGACAGAAGCAAGCCCAGAAAAATAGCACTATTTTCAAAATAGGCATCATGTCCAAATGAATTACTTTTGTAAAATAAACCTATGAGAAAAGTTACTGAAAAACTCCCTCACAATATAAGCAGATTGCTTATAAAATGAGTTCTGGGGATCCAAACTGTGACCAAAGAGAGGTTGCAACTAAAGCAAATCAATTTAAAAGCAAATATTGAAATGGAAATTTTCAGGCATTGTTAAGTGGTTTAGGCAAAGTAGCTTTTGTTTTGACATGTGACAGTTTTGGTCAAATACAACTAGGATCTGTAATGTAAATTCAAAAATGTTTTCCTGGTAACTGCTAATGTCAAATAATAAAGAAAAATGTGCTGGATTTGCTATTTTAAAGGTGTTTTTATTATGGCTCCTTCCATTCATTTAGCATTATCAAAGGCCACATTTCAGATACTCTTACCTAAAACTGTATTTCATACCTGTGTAAAGCTTTTAAGACAGTGAAGAATTAATAATCTGCGTTTAGAGAACTAGTTAGGATACACCACCATGCACAGCTAGGGTGACTGTGAGGAAAACTACCAAACTACCAAACCATGCTAGCATGCTGCATATCAAACAGATAAATCTCAACTATGGAAAAAACCCAGCCCCTCAAATAATAAATTAAAATCCTCCAACCTACACACCACACCAGCACTACAGACTTACAAGTACAGTTAGATTCATAAAAAAACTGAAAGTGCTTAGGTCTTACAGATACCTGTGCCTTAGTAGACAGACATCAATGGTGACCCAGTTTATTAAATGGGGTTGGGGTGTCTAGGTTGGAGAGTTTCTTTTTTGTTGTAATTTTTAAGACCACCTCACTCTTCGGTAATGAAAGCCACAAAAGTTAATGCCAGTAATTCACAACACAATCCTGGTTAGCAGAATTTAGTTTCTGCAAGAGTAGAGAAGAGGCAATACACAGGCTAAGGTGCACTTCTCGTACATTGCACTGAGAACAATTCTTCTGGCTGAGAGTCTCTACCACTGATCTTGGACTAGACTGAGGACCATTAGGTGTCAAGTCTGGTTTCCTATCTTGAGAATTTCTTTCTTGGATTCTACTATTAATTTCCAGCTGCAGTCTACACATCTGCTCCTGTAGCTCACTTATTAGGTTCACTACTGACTGAAAACATGGGAAGAAAGAAAAAAAAAGAGACAAAAAAAGATTTAAAAAAAAGTGAGAAATAAAATGATGCAAAGAAGACTTCTACAATTGCAGCACGAAGAAACACATGAAGCACATCAAATCAAACTGAAAAAAAAACCCAAGAGATTACATATTTTCCTTTTGTTATGGTACATGTGAATGGATTTAAATCTGGAATATTGCACAGAGCTACAGGTTACATAAAACAGAGTCTATATTCTGCACTAATTCATGATTCTGATTCTAATATAAAGAACAAATTTGGCCCCTCAGTTTTGGAAGCTTTTACAGTCACATGAAGTCTGATATCAGGAAGAACTGCAACAGAGGCACACTTTTGCTGAAATGGGAATTGATTCCATTCATTTATATAGCCAAACCATTCACTAGGAAGAAATTGCTAAGTACTCAGATAGGGCCATAACCTACTCCTCACAATTTATACACAGAAATTACTAGTAAAGCAATTCTGTTTCCAGGTCTAGCATGGGTCAGAAAAATAACCCTATTACTAGCTTGCTAGCTAGGCAGTATTTTGACATGGAGAAAGAGTTAAGCAACATGCGCAGGAGAAATCAAAGGATACTACATAAGAAAAAGTAATTAAAGTGCACCAATTTGCTGGCCAGATTCTTGGATTTGTGTGTTTCAGTGATACAAACAAAAAATCCAGCTACAGAAAGCAAACCGAAGACAAGTTTTAAAATGTATGTAACGTTTCACTTAAGTTCCGTAACTCTGTAGTAAATAGTGCTGGGTAATTTCTCAGGTATTACAAGTTTGGAGTGCTTTTCTCTTAATTTTCACATACATTAACAATATGTGTTTTGTGATTTCTCAATCTTCTCAACTGGAATAAATCTGAGGAGATTAATCCATCTCCAAAAGGGGGGGAAGATTTTAGTGGACAGGGCAACAGAAGACATGGCATGTTTCTTAGAATTTTCTTCCTTACAACACACAGAAGCCCTCTTGCCATCTCAACCCTCTGGTGAACCAATAATCATACAGCTAAAGAACAGCTACTGCAAGGACAGGATGCTATTCCAACCAAGTGTATAACACAACCAATCTCAAATTGCATCAACATCCACAGCCAACTTCAAACATTCACAAAGATTTCCTTTCAACAGTGTATGCGCCAGATACAAGGGTTTCACATCAATTATTTTTTTTAGGGCACTGTGCTTAAAATGAAATTCAGGAAAACAGTTGCATATATTTAACTAACTTACATATTATTCTTAGTCAGGATCACAATGTCTGATGCTTATACTCTTTCATCCAATCAACTCTTAATGTATGTAAATGAGGATTAGTTCCATAAACAACCAAAAAGCATTAGAAAGAATACCGGCTACACTGGCCACTTTGCAGCAATACAATAGGACACTGGTGGGGAGAACCTCACCTAACTCATCCTCTTATTAGGAGTACTGCAAAGTAGAACACCTGTAGTACTGGCTGTATGTACAATCTAGATGCTATCCACAACCCCTCCACCTTGCATGCTCTAATCTTGTTTCTTTTTTACCATCATCTCCACAATCTGATACCTCACTGAGCAGTACCAACTGGCGATGACTGGAATCATTAGGACACACATCCATCTTCCTTGCTTTCTTTCAAGCACCAAGGCTTTCGTTTGTCTTTGACAGAACACTGTTAACCCACACAAGGTTCTAAAGAAGGACTGCTCTAACAAGATGCACAGACATTTGAGCACAAACTGACATCTGCTCCAGTTGTGCCAACTTGGGAGAGATCAGAAACACTTTGGATGCAACCTTATCATTCTTTTCCCTATCACCTCACATTAAAAACAGGAATTGGAAACACTCTGCATCCATACAGACTTCCCTCAGGGCAAACTTGACAGTACAGAAATGACAGAAATCCTTACCCAGTGGAGGATAAGAAATCTATGGAGGAGAAACAGATTAACTTCAGCTGCAATATGTGCCCTTACAACTTTTTCTAGCTTCAAGGTAGAAAAGGTTTCTCTTTTTGAGATTCCTTTACAGCATGAAAATATATTAACATACTATATCTTGAATTTGATTCAGGTGAGACAACACACCAGACTCCCCAGTGGGAGTCAGTGGCTCACTGACTCAAGTTTCTTTGAAACCGCAAGTAACTATGCACTAGATATTCAACAGCTTACAGCAAGCATCAGATCCTTAGGAGGAAAAAGCAAAACCAACAAAATTTATCCTATGCCAAAAAAGAAAGGCTGTTAAGCAAAATGAAATGGACAATCACTTCTGCAGTCTCCTGGTAGTGATAGGAGGTCTCTTGTCTTCTGTGTTCAGGTAAGGCAGGCATCTGGGCTGCATTAATCACTTGATAATGCTGATCATTCATACCTTGCTGCGTTAAGAAAACACATTTCCAAATTTTTTAAGGCTTCTCAAGTAAGAGAAAAGCTGCAAAAACTCCCTTAGGTGGGGTTTCAAAAACCTCCACAGAATTGCTGTGGCAAAAATAAAACATTATTTCACAATAAAGGAACTAAAATGACAAAGTCAACAGTGAGACAGTCCATTTACAAGCAGCTATTCTCCTAGACCCTGTGTTAGATATATAAATAGATGGCACTTTAAATTTAGCATGTGCTTTCAAAGAGCCAGAGACAAGTGGCATTCAGTGTGAAATTAATACCTTTGAGAAGAGGTTAGAGGCGCTTAATAAACTCCTTGCTGCTAACTAAAACCAAATTTAAACAACAGCTGCGTAAGATAAAGTGAAATGAACCTGACACATTAAAACTTGCTCATATTGAGAAGGATATCTTAATTTGCTTTGTTTCCCCCAACTCAACCAGACAAATAATTCTATAGCTAAATTCCATGTGACTGGAAAGAGCTGCTGTGAAATAAGCTGACATAAAATTAGAGTACAGAGCAAACATGTTTGAGCTGAATTGTTCTGCAATGTCACATTTAATTTTAAACTTTTTAAAAGCCATTATTATACTTAGAAATGGCACGGTCAGCCATGGAGTATAATTAACAAGTTGTCTGAAAGGGTTTCACTACTGGATACCTCTATAATACGTGCACTAGGGTGAAAACTCAGGACTATTACCTTCTGATAGTAGCATATCTATCAAATCCCTGTTCTGCTCACCTCTGTCAATCCTAAACTCAGTCTTGAAAGCACGAATTGGCTGGCTGCAGTCTATAAAAACAGATTCAGCACTGTCACCCGTAGCTGTATTCCACTTATTTAAAAACACTAATTGCAATTTCATTTGAGGTACTGTACCTGTAGAAGAATGCTGAAGTACCTACAACATTCAGAGATTCATTTCATTTGGTCACTGTCAGTTTGGAGAACTGTCTCATTCTGAAGCAAGTAGGTTATCGCAACACAACTGCGTATGTGTAAATGAGAGCAAACTAAACATAGACTGAGTACCTAAAAGTGGCTTACTCACTTAGAAAGATGTAGTTGGGCAGAGAAGACAGGAAGTTCAGGAAGACACTCAAACTATTACCAAATTTAAGCAGCAGTTGTAGTCTAACATTATAAAGGAAACATATCAATAAATTTCATTCTTATGTTTGAAATAGTGTTTGTATTGAAAAATTAGTGAAATTTACAACAAAAGAAGCTGTAACAGGGTTAAAGCATTAGAATTCAAGTAAGCATCCAATCTGACTGAAAGCAATCCCTGTTCATCTTTTCAAATTAGATTAATGCTTATTTAGGACAGTCTGAAGTAATTTTTTTAATGGCTCAACAATTAAACTAGAAATGATGTTTATTTCCCACAGCTTTACTTACTCATTTTCCCTGCATTGTATACACAGGTTTGCAACTTTGAACAGGCCAGAAATCTAATCACATCTTGGCATAGTTAATAATTCAGGGCATACTTAACACAATGATTCTCAACTTTTCCCTCAGATTAGAAGCCTTTTCCATCTCAGCAGGTACATTTCCTATTACTCAGCAATACAGCAAAGGCTTCCAGGCCCAATAACGCTGAGCTTTTCCATCCAAGGGGGTCACACACCTTTTTGCAGTATCAAAAGAATTTCACAGCTCATAGCCTCATCCTTACCACAGGCCCAGACCTACTTAAAAGTTCTATCAATGCAAATGCACTCAAAACCGCTGTTGCCTTCCAGAAGTCGGGCTGACTCTGCATGTCCTGCAATAATTTAGGCACCCTCATTCCATTACATGTTGGACACCAGGAAGAGCTGAAGGCTTCTCAGAAAGGTGGCTACTGAGAGTAGGCTGCAATCTGTAGCAATTACGTGCTGCACAGACCTGTTTAGATTTTCAGGTAGTAAGAGACAATTATGGGTGAAAGAGCACAAGGTGGCCATAGATGGTAAAAACAGCAGCTGGTGCCTCCCTGGCTTGCAACCTCTGCCAGGGATTGCTCTCTTTAAGCTATCTTTTGATCTCTAAAGAAAACTTCTGAGGATAAATAAGTCAAAAACCAAACACACTCCAAACATATTATGTCACCGCAGGTAAATTACTTATGCATGCTTCTCAAATATTCCACTAGTGGCATTATGGAGATCAAACAGTTTTCTAACACTGCCTGGATTTCAAATTCTCCTGTGTCAACATGGAAGTTTTTTCAGTCAGCAATGTATGACTCTTGGACCTAGCAATCTTCCCTTGTCAGTTGGCTCCTCCTTCTGTCAGTTGGTTCCCTTACAGGACCATTGAGTAGAGCAACGCATGGCAATTCATATGAATTACTTTCTTCATAATCGCTTTCCTTCCCAGCTCCCCTCTGCTGCTCATTTCCACGATTCCACATTCATGTTTCTCTGTTTTATATTCTTTCTTAATCAATATGGTAAAAAGCAAAGCTTCTTTGATGACCAGAACTCTCCGCATATGAAAGGGAACAAGGATTAGAATTGCCTCCAATGCATGTAATTTTTTTTTTTTTCACTATTTATTATGTAACCACAAGGGGAAAGGCTCATTTGAGGAATATGCCCTGCCCCTTGTCCTTCCCTCCCAAGTGCCACGAATGCATTGAAATCACCAAGGGTGATCATCTAAGTGTTTGTGGCACCACTGATACTACTGGGCTGACAGGTCTTCTCTGCCACATAAACGAGGAAATAGAAGAGCTCTCATAGGCTGCACATGGCCATGCCAGCCAAGCTTATGTGAAAAGGAAAGGGTTAAGTGAATGGCAACTGTAATGTATGCTTCTGGAAGGGACTTTGTGCCTTGATTAAAGCCAAACAGCAACCTCTGGAAGTATAATGAGAGAGGAGAAAAGAAACCAAATCCCAAAAATGCATAATCATATTCTTCACTGAATTCACAGGATCAATGGCATGGACGGAAAATCCTACTGCATGCCAATTTCAGCTCGAATGCTCAGGTGCATGACAGCATACCAGAGACATGATAAAAAAGGACAACAACCTAAGGAAAGAAACTCACCTCAGCTTTGTTCTGTTTCTCTTCATATTCACTCTGCTCCTTTTCCATACCAACCAGTTTAATCTTCAGGTCTGAAACTTCAGCCATTAAGTCTAATTTTTGAGTCTCTAGCGACGTTCGACTTAGCAGCTCCTGAAATCAAAGCAGAACATTTTCTCTGGTTATTTAATTGAACACTGACAGAATGCTACATGATTTATTGGCAGATCCATACTAAAGCCTCTACCCCATTGTTTAACGCTTTCAATACAAAAGCAAAATGATTCTCTTAGAGTCACAATTGCTATTGCTTTACAATGGAAAAAAAAAGCAGCAAGATAGTTCTGATGTAAGCATCTGCTGCTGGCAGAAAAAGTAACTAAAACAAAACAAACAAAAAAAAGGATTATTGGCAAATTCATACTAAAGTACATTTCCCTACCTCTCTTCACAGCATCTATTTTTTGACCTGTTTGAACTGCGTGTTTCTCAGGTTTTCATGCAAACATTCTCCCATGTTAATGGCTAGGCCGCTGTGGTCTCTGCCATATTTCAGGAAAACACATGGCAGAGTTAATCCCCACGCAAGCCATGAAATCAGAAAACAATACTAAGGCTAGGCAAACACAAACCTACATAATGCCACACAACACATTACAAAAGAATTGGCTACTTCCTAAAATACTCATCAGAAAAAGCTATGTTTTAGTATTACAATTAAACATTTTAGAACTTCTTACGATGTGTTGTTTGATAAAGGATATTACAGAATAAGCACCCTAACCAAAACAGAGTGCCAAAGACATGCAGCAATTCAGCAGTAATACTAGCAGTACTTGGAAGTTTATATCATGTGGTACTTGGTAACTTCTGAAGACTGTACACTGTGGAGGGAACAGCAGTGAATAAAAAGTGTATCCCCAAACTGGAATCTAAAAGGCAATATCTAGACTGAGTAACAGTGTAGAAATAATTGGCCATGAGTTTTGCTTGTGTACCCTGAGTTTGTTTTTGAGGTTGCAAAGAGATGTGTACTTTGGACCCAGTGATACCACTGTGTTTGGAAAACATTCAGTAATGACCTCCCCTGCATCTTTCAAAACATCTTCCAAAATATAACAGAGTTTTATGTTAATGCTTCTATTGGTCTCCATTTTCAAACAGTGGAAAAAAAACCTCCAAACCATTCAGGACTTTAAGCCTTACTGGAAAATCAATACTTACAGTGCCTAAATAATTTTTACAAAAGAACACTGGTTTCTAAATGGTTAAAAAATTTTTGCTAACTCATAACTCACATTAGTGTTTTCATCATGTGAAACACACAGAGGAATCACAGCAGATTCTGCTTTGAATTACATAGAAGTGACTTAACCTAAGTTGCCATAGCTATTCTGGATCTATGCTGATGTTACCGAGCGATCGAAACTGCCCTGTCCATCACACTTTTCTTATGTCTTCCTCTCCCATAAACTGCACAGTATGTTGTAGACCATTTCCTGGAGCCACAGAACCCAGAAAGGTTATTAAAAAAATTACACAGTTAAAGTGTATTTGGAACCTAAATCTACTCTACAAGTCAATTATTTTAGTCTGGTGGGGAATACTGCTCAAATTAAAAATAGTACTGAACTTGCATCTGCATTGCAACACCAATTATCTAAGCCACCCACGATTCCCAGTGCCATGGCCATTCCTGCTGACATTGACAATGATATTTGTGTATGGGTGGGAAAACAAACAGAAATGTAGTCTCATGATTTGGTTGGGTTTTCTTCCTCTAAATGAAATAAATCAAGCACTGATGAGGAAAAGACAGCGCACTGCCTTTTTCTACTGAGAAACTCTCAGAGGCAGTTACCTAATGAAATTTCTCTAGTAGCTGCTTTCTACAAAGGTGAGTACAAATTACAATTCTAATTACAAGTAACTCCTCTATCTTCCAGAAAGATGCTAATTTGCCTAAGATCCATAGCAGCACATTCCAATCCAGACTGGAACAGGCTCTGTACAGCTGTGAACTTATCAGACTTCTGAAAATAAAGACATACCTATAAATGAGAACCTTAATATGAAATAAGGCCACTGAGCACCAAAAAGGTTGTCAGGGTGACGTGACCTTGGCCCCGGTCAGACTCTACTCACTGTTGAACTGAAATATCATTTAGAAGTTGGGGTTTTTTGACACTGACATGGCATTCCATGATACAACAGGAAGATTTCTGAATAAGGCAAGGAGACATGGCATCCCTCTAGAGTTCAATGAAAGATCTACCCTTCCAGCGCACCACCTGGCATTACTCCTTATTTTTTCTATAGACCCCCAACTGACACTTAGTTATGCAATAAGGACTAATGCCTCACTCCTCTCATGCTGAGTTTAGTAGCTCCATGTGAACACTAGAGTGCTACCTGAGTAGTGAGCATTAAGGCACCTGATATTTGGGGTTTTTTTTCAGTCAACTCAAACGAAATTTTGCAGTTTGCTCTGAAGATAGAGAACCAGACTCCTCAGCCAGTGTGAACCGGCATAAAACTCTTGCCTTAAAATAGACAAAATAGCTAACTATCCCTAGCTTCTTTTCAGTGGAGCTACACTGATTTAAAACAGCTGACAATTTCTCTTGCATCTAGAGAGTCAAACTTCTGCTTTGAAAGAAAGTGCCGTTTAAAGTAAATGTCCCCTCTTGAAATGGTAACATCTGGAAGCAATTATTTTCATCTTCAAGCAGATGCTCACAGTGAACAGCTCATTATGAATGTGACCCATTTTGTTGCAGAGAAATTATGGTGTATTTCAGTGGTATGATGCAATTTGAATTCAGCCAGAATAAATATGCAATTGTAAGAAAAGAAAATACAAATTTATGTTATTGGTTTTAAAGCAAAAATGATACTATAACAGGCAAAATGGTAATTTGGCCTGAAGCAGCTTTAGGAGGATCTTAATGAGCTGAAATATAGAACAGAAATAGAACATATCCTAGGGAACTTTATAAAACAGGATACCTGGTTTTAATTTTAATATGTGCTATAAGTATAATTTCATTACTCAAAATTCTCTTTTCAAAACTAAACTTTTAAATTTAAAGGGAAAAACCTATTTTCAAGTAGAATAATTACAAAGACAAGTCATGCAGAAGCTACAATATGCATGTGCCAGACAGATCAATCAACAGCAAACTATTTCAAAACACCACTGTATTTTTAAAACCTACACTGTCTACTTTTAAAGTATTTAATCATGTTTTTCAATATTCCAAATGAAACTGAGGCGTATGCTGTATATATATAACTCGCACATTGTCTTGGAAATACATAATTCTTATTAAAAAGACATGACAGAAAATAGCTTAGAAAGAGGACACTACGCTTTTCTAGGCTGTCAGCTGCAAGCACAGAAAATTCCATGATATTTAGCACTCCGCAAAAGAGAAGGAACAATCATGCCATACACTGATTGAGAAACCATAAGTAAGGTTTTAGTCAAGTGGGAGGAAAAAAAAACCCCAAAGATCCCATTTTGCACTTGTGCACTGTACAAAATACAACACTCAAAAATTCTGTAATTTTCATCCTTATTAAAATAAAAAAAAAGAAGACAGAAAGACCGACCATGCTACCTACCTGGTAAGCAAAATTCACCAAGAACCACTGCTAACGAGGACTGCCCATTTCAAGTGCTGTGTGTCAGCTGTGGTAGAAATAAGATATTTGCTTAACTGAAAACACAGCTGAGAGCAATGTACATGTGTAATCGCCATGAAATGATGCAAGTTAGTAGCAGAGAGTAAATTACAGCCCTCCAATTCATCATTTGTCCATTATATTAAGCAACAAAAAAGGACAGAGCTTCCCACAGCACTGCCAATTTGAACAGCATACACTTGGACCAGCAGATTCATGCCTACATTAACTGTAAAATAACAAAGCAGTGTAATGCTCACCTGTGTAGATATGCTGCACAACTTGGGAGCACACACTGAAAATCTTATGCCTCACCCCAGAGCAGCACAGAGCACGCTTCAAAATCTGAAACACTAAGCTAGCTTCTGGCAAGAAGTTACTGCATGCTATAAACAAGTGCTGAAATTCATCTAAGATCAGATAACTCAGGCAACTGAAAGCTGAAGGAATGATCTTTGCTGGCCAGCAAAGTTTCTGAGAAGCAAACAGATACACACTAGGTTTATACCCTGCAACCAAGACAGGATTCTGGCTCCCCCAAATATAAGACAACTGCAAAACCAGAACAGGTACACAGTAAACTGTGTTGGATTCAAGTTTCTACTTTCAATACAGCTCCTCCCTGCATTCTTTTAATCCACGGGTTTTTTAAAGTTTCTCCATTGTGCCTCACAAAGGGCATTCTCTGGCGCACTTCCCCCTGCTCCGTGCAGCCAGGCAGAAGCTGGCTGTAAACGGACCCGAGAAACAGGAATTCACTCCTGTTTGCAATCAAGCATTTCAGTTTCTGTGTGTATTTTTTAAGGCAGAAAGAATCCTAAAGCCAAATACTTTGTACATTGCAAGAGTATTTACTTGACAGAAGACACAATCATACTTACACAATGCAACTATCTGACAAGAGTCCCCTGGATTGCTTCTTGCACTTCTGTGTCAAAAATAATTTGGAAGGTGGAAATACAGAGTCAGACCACATCTAGGATTTCATACAGGTCAGGTACAGGAAAGACACTGCCACACAGTGGGAAAGCAAACTAAACTGCATGCTTTTTTACTTCATGCCAGACAACTTCCATGGGAACTATGATCTGTTAAATAAATCAAATGCAGCATGGGGATAGCAAAAAAGGTAACTAACAATATTCTTACAACAATTACCATCAGAAATGCACTTAAAAGGGCATTTGTGAAGGTGAAATCTTTATGTGCAGAAAATTCGCTTTTCAAACTGACTTAACACAGTTGTCAAGATTGACAGCATGGATTCCCTACCATGAGAGGTTAAGCGCATTTATAGAGTAAAAGTGACTTATGCTTCCCGATTCTATTCTACATTTGTACACAGTACAGATGAAAGAAAAGTTGACAGCGAGTTGATAGGAGGTTCCCCTAAGCTAACATAGCAGACATTCAAGTCCCAATCTTCTCATAAAAAAATCTTAAAATTGACTGAAGTACTTGAAATTCCACAAACTAACTGGGAGCAAGACACACACACACATCATTGTTCTCTAAAATTGGCTGTAATTGTACATTTTAAAGCAGCTGAAATGCTGGGAATAGACTGCCACAGCACAAATTGTTTTCATAGGATAATTCTAGAAGTTTGGGTTTGTTTTTTTTTATTTCAAAGGCATTCATTATTACGGGCTAAACAGCAAAGCAAGTAACTATTCACACATGCTGTCATTTCCATATCCTTTACACATTTGATGTCAAAGCCAGAGATACCACTGGAAGGAAATTCAGTGAGATGAAACTGGTGTCATGCTCTCAGTCATGCCCCAGAAAATTTTCTCTTATCATTTACAATGAAGGATGATCAGGGAAATATGTTCCTTGGCCCACATCGGAATCATACTTCAGGACAGATTTAAAGTTTTGCCATTGACTTTCATGAGTTTTCAAACACCTTCTTTGTTTTTAAAGAAAGAGAAATGCAAACACCTTCTAGGTAAAAAATGCTTTATCCTGATTAGTAGTGGAGCAAGCATCCTTACCAAAGCAAAATGTTGAGTTTGACACTATAAGCATCACATCTCATGAAAGTATTATCTGTAACTGTGCACACTAGGGCATCTCTGCATCTGCCACATAGGATCATCCTGTTTCTCAGACACTGCTGAGATGTATTTTCCTTGGCTCCTTTCGTAAACAGCTAGGTCAAATGCACATCTCACCATCACCTATATGCCGCACCTTAACCTTTTCAGTGAGCTGTTTCAACTCAGTAACCCAGCAGAAAGCATCCCCTTCTTTTTTAAACCACGTTAGGTTTTTTTGACTCATTGAGGAAAAAGTCTGATGAGCATGAAGTCAGTATAAGTTGCAGAAGCACATGGTTAGGAACAGGGAGAAGAATGAAAGAACAATGGGGACCTCTCCTTTTTGTGGCAGTAACCTTCAGACTGGCTCAACTAATTTCTTAAAGTTCACATTTTGACTAAGGGAATGATACCGCACCGTTCTCTGAGTGATAAAGAGTTTTCTGCAAAGAAGCAGCAGTATCTGTTGCTACTGTTCCACATTCAAGATGTCCACCCTAAATGCTGAACAGCCATTTTATGTAATTGGTATAAAGTTTATTTTAGCTGCTGTTTCAGAAGCGTTTCCACAATCACTTTGTAGCAGGGTTCAAAACAACTTTTGCATAAATCATAAGCCAGAAGGATTTGAGCCAGTAACCCCACCCTGAAAAAATGGACAAGTCTCTGCTAGCATAGATTCAGCAAAAACGATTTTGCAGGGTAGCATTACAAACCCTTTTTGTTGCAGAATTATCAGATACCATAATTAAATTACCTTAAAGTGTATGATTTTTTATTTTAGTATTTGGGGCACAGAATCAAGACACTCTTCTTACAGTTCCCAAAATTAAAAAGACTTACCCTGGACTCAGTTATACTTCTCCCAGGTAAGTAAATAATATGCTGATCCATATTGCACTTAGCTTAGCTCTACTAATATGTATTAAAGATTTTTCAAGCTAGGGCAATTATCTTTATCATTCCATCTTCCATTGTGAAAAAGCAGTTGACTTAAGTTCACTAAGGTAAAAATCAGTGGAGTTTAATATACTGTAAATAAGCAAGCAGAACCATGAAATCAAACTGGATTTGCATACACCTCAGGAATATAATTGAAGTCTTTCTGAAAAGCTAGAGTATTTATATAGGTACATAGAGCTGATGATTTTTTTCTTATTAGAAATAAGTTAGTCTACTGTAAAAAACAAACAAACAAAAAAAAACTGTCTTGAAAGCCCACTAAATAGTTTTCACTGAAAAAACTTAGTGACAACAGAAGCATCTTTCATTTCTTTGCTAAGCGTCATGAGCACTTCTACAGGACACTGGCAACTGCTGGCTGAGAAAGTCTGAACCTCTCCCAAAACCTGGCTGATCCATCAGTCTATTGAAGTCTCTGAGGCCAGACACTCACTCTACTTTTGACAAATTGACTGCAAGAAGGCCTACTGGCCACATGTCTTACATGAATGTCATAATCTTCACACGATCAGGTCATTCTCTTGTCTCCAAATCTCAACTCATTCCCTGTAGAGGGTAATCTTTTCAACAAGGTGAACTGCAAAAAGAACCTTCAAAATGAATTACAGACAAATAGGGTCCTCTTGTGAGCCATAATAAATGTACAATTTCTCTGACTGTTGGGCTTTTCAGAGATCTAACTTGGGTTTCCCATATGCTACTGTTTACTGGGGGATCTAATCTCTCTGAGAAACACACAACTACCATTCCCTGATCACCCTCTAGTATTTAATTAATTTGTTCTTCTTTCTGTTCACAAAACTAAAAGGTTAACACAATTTTTTTTTGCATTCCAGTGAGAAAATAAAATTTAAATATCTCAGTTCCGCACTGAATTTATTTTTTAATTTTGGTTCAGCTATTGAAAGCACATCACTCACTAAAATTAAAATACTAAGCATGTGTTTGTGTATGTGCATCTCTCCGTACAAAGTTCAAAGAGACAAACTCATTGGATTAAATGAAACACAAATGCTTACCAAGGTGTGGCCTACATAATTCTTCCTCTTGAAAAAACAAAACAAAACAAAACCAACCCAAACTTGAGCTATCATATATGCTGTAAACATAAGAGATCAGTCACTTAGAAATTTAGTGATCCACAAGCAAGCTTATCAGTATTTCTGTAAATTATGTTCAAATGCAAGATCTTGAAAGTACGACACAGAACAAAACAATCAACAAATTTGAGCTTATTGCCAACTATTCAGTTACAAAAAAGAAAACAAATTTGAAGTTACTGCCATTTGGCAACAGTTACAGCCACTCAAAGTGATCTCACAATTTAAATTCAAGGGTTATATTAAAGGGTTATATTAAATATATTTGGAGTTTCTCTGACTTCCTTTAGCTTTAGTACAGACTTTTGCAGCTTATCACTTTAGGATCAGCTTCATAAGCAATTTGTACACATGCCTAATGCCACATGGGTAGATTAAAATTTCACTGAAGTAGCAATGTACATCTCAGTAGTATATTCTATTTTCAGATGCCTCAGTGTTCTGTTAAATCAGGCTTTAAATTCATGGTTTCCTCAGAATACTATCAGAGCAGAAAATTTTAAGTTACAGAAACAATAACCACTTTTAGCAGAAGTCACAGAACAACTACCTAGTTTTAGATTAAAACAGTAAACTTCTACGCCATTGTGAATGCTTTCCTGAAGTTTAAAAACAGATTTTCATAATTTAAATAGTTACTGTTCTTTGAATTTCACTTCAGATCTCATGGGAAAATGAAATACACTCACTAGCTGCATTTTTAAAAACATCCCCTCATTTACATATGAGAACATAACTTCTATAATACATCATATTTTGGGCTGCAGAAGTTGTGTGAGTCCGTGCTCTTTTTAGAGAAGCTTCGAGAATTATAACTTTAAAAGGGTTAACATACAAGTTTTTCTTATAGAAACTGCCACTGTTAGCATACATATTATAGGGATCTTTATCATAATTTAAAGCTATGATCAGTTCATGAAAAAACTTGTATATTTAACATAGATGAAAATAGTAAATTTATAACACAACATTTCGGGTAAGGAAGGAAGTAAGTTCTACCTATCTATCCTTGCAAATTTCTGGTATAGATTTTGAGGGTTATTTGCAGTTTCAAATCTATTTTTGATAACTATGTACTGTACTACCAGCACATGATCTGCATCCATAAAATCAGAAAATTGCATGGGGAAAGTTCTTTTGCATCAACAGACCTACCAGCTCTGCAGTAACACATGACATGTAAGGTATGTAATTTAGCATTTCTTCTGCTCCCTCAACATATAATGTGAATAAGCAAAAATTAAATCAAATATCCTGAAACTGTCAATTCAAATGTGCACTAAATTTTAGTGCACTTTATGTACTAATTTTCTTTCAAAAATAAGTGGAAAGCTCCTAAATTAAGCTAAAATGGTTATAAAGCCAAACTTGATACAGTAACTCATTTCAACTTACTACATGTTCAACTTCAAAGCCATACAAAACCAGACAATATTTAAATAAAACTTCTTAATTGTATAACTCCTACATACATTAGATACATTTAACCTGCCTAACCAGTTACTCAACAGTCATGTCCAAATGTAGTTCGTCAACACAGTACAAATAAGACACAATAGTTTCATTTTACATGCTGCCACGTACAGTATTATGCAACCAGCAGTAAAACATTTTTGCAACAGGAAAACAAAGAAACATTTATTGGGGGTGGGGGAAAAGGTACAAAGCAGCAAGAGAACAATAAAAGAGACATTTTTTCCCCATTTTATCTCGTTGCTAAACGCACTCACACACAGAGACAAGCTGACCACGTGTGTTCACCCCTCTGCTGGAGGTTATGCAAGAAGCTTCCCAATCCAGACTTTTACCTGTTGAAGCATTTCTTCTGTAGCATTCAGTTTCAACTGATGCCCCTCAAGACAGATTTCTAAGTCCCGGATTTTCTCTCCTTGAGCTTCTACTTGGTCTGTAAGCACACTCACCTGTAATTTGAGAAGAGAAGCGCAATGCTACTGAATTGACTGTAACTAAGTTTCAATTACCTTATACAATTAACATCCAAATGCACACTTTAACAGCCAGTTCTCTTTTAAAGTTCTCAATGGTTTAATATTCTTGTGCACTGCAGCAACCTGCTCTACCAAGATAGACAATTTTCCAGCCTTACCTATATTTTGCTTTAACCCCGCCCTCTCAGCCCTCCCCTGATTTTTTTTTTATTTTAACATAAAAAGAAAGGGTATTTCTAGAAGAGGTGGAAGACTACCTATAGGTAGCCAGAGTCAGTTTATGGAAAAGTAAAAGTCTTGAAAAATTAGAAAGTTCCAAACAAGAACATAGGATACTGAAAATATTTTCAAGCATGCATTGCCATTTCAGGTTCCATTGGCATTGGCATTTCACTCCTTAAAACAGACGGACAATAAAACTAGTCATTCAGAAACCAACCAATTACTTTACTTCTTACATGAACAGAAAAAGAGCTTACCTATCAATAAAGCCTTCTGCAGTTAATAAAGAATGCAATGAGTAAAAGGCATGTTTTAGCAGCAGCAAAGATCTATTCCAAGAAAAATTCCCAGGCTTTGCAAGCCAAAACATGAAAGCAAAAGACGCGAGATACCGACAATGAATCCCAAGAAAAGCAACAATAAGTAATACTGCTAAGGAGCTGTGGGAATGGTGTTAGAGACCAGTGAGTGTCTAACAAGAAAAGCCCAGCAGCCTAACTCAAAGATCACAAAGCTGAAAAAACTATGCTCAGGGTAACATTAGAAAGATGTGGGGGGGAAAAGCAACAGTTGAATTCCTATATTAAGCAGCACATACACACTGTATATTCATTTTTACTACTTATTAATATGCCTTGATTATACTAGAAAAATGTTATCTCAACAACAAAAAAAAAACCACCCCCCCCCAAATGAACTTATCTATGTTCTCACATCCAACCCTGCAACACCTTTATTAAAAAAAATAAGTACAGTCTGTGGAAGTGAACCCTTTGAGATGTGCCCACTATGCAGCACCTCTAAATCCCAATGAACCAACAACTGAGTTCACTTCAGGGTAGCTGCAGAGGGAGTGACTGAGTGAGTGATTTTTCTTTGTTTTGCCTGCAAACATAATGACAAGCATGCCTGGGAGAGGAACATAGAAAAAGAGAAAAAGAGGACCTTTTTTTTTGTTTTTGTTTTTGCCTTTAAAGTAGCTGGCTGTAGGACAGAGTACAAATGAACGAAGGACAAGAGAAAATATGAAGGAGTAGGTGGAGGCAAATGGCAGAGGGATACATCCAAACTTGAGCATGGGGAGAACTCCCTGCAAGGAAGTCTGCTGCTTGTCTACTTTTTTGTTTTGCTCCCATTAAATGAGGGATGGCACACACAGACATACAAAACCCAAACCCCTGTGAGGTCAGAAAGCAGAAAGAAAGAAACAATCCTCTCCTTCAATCTGATGTAGGTTCCAAAGAAAACCAGTTGCACTTAAATGGTCAGGTTAGGTTCCAACTAGCATTGCAACCTGCAAGGAAAATCGTCTGCTAAATATGACCTGCAAAGGAATTAAATAGAAACTTAGCAGCTTTGGGAGCATGTGTTGGATGTTCCAGTAGTTAGGCTGAGAAGCACATTAGCCAATTTGAGCTCATATTTTCCCCTCTGTTCAGGATCATATCTGCCAGACTCTTCAGAGAATCAGTAGGCTACATACAGAATGTAACCCCAGCATATGCTATGCTGGCAAGTCCATCTTGCCTTAGCAGTGTAACACCTGCAAAAGTCAGTCTGTGGATAATGTATTTTCTGTAAATATAATAAGAGTGAGGCATATTGAAGAATTAGCTAAAAATCAAGTGGTATAAAGGTTTAAAATATCTTTGTGGGAAAAAAGAAACAAACCAAGCACCGAAAGAGGTACATTAGCTCCTATATAGTCACTAAATTATGAGAAGGTATCCCAGATGCTGTAGCATATTCAGTCTCACTACAGTCTAAACACTGGAAGTGGGTCTCAATGTGCACTGTTTGACTCTGCTTTGGTGGACAGAGACAGTGGGCACTGCCTGCCTTGAGCTGCCTCTTCTGCAGCAAATCAGATGCAAGACTGGAGTGCTACCAACCTCATATTCCCTACAGATTACAGACATGGATTACAGTCATTGGCAACTATTCCACATGAGCTACAGAACAGAGGTGCTTTATTTCCCATCACTTTCTCATCCTTCATGCCAATGGTCACACCCAAGAGGCAGGTTTATACCAGATGACTTCCTCAGGCCAGTGTAACCTCAGCAGGGGCTCGCCTGCATTCCCCACATTTGATTGCCTAGATAGAATATAGAGAACTGGTGTAAACCAGGTTTTAAACCCAGCTCTATCCTGGCACCTTTTTTTTCTGTTGTTTTTGATGTTCATCTACCAGAGTGAGGTTTTCACCTATCTTACTTGCCTGGGGTTTTAGGAGTTCTACTGCAATACTGCTCAGCGGGACAGGAAAATGCAAAAATATTGACTAAGCCTCCTGATTTGATAGGGGTGTGATGGGAGTCAAAAGGCAACAGAGTGGCAATTCCTATATCTGACTTTACTACATTCCTTTTGAGAAAAAAACTCTAGGCAGGTCTCCAAACCATGTCATAAACACCTCTTCTTCGTTAGTAAGCCATCCATTGAGCAACCAATGGCTGGTTGCATTCTACAGGTATCTGTTTGTGTGGATGAAGAAATAGTTACTAAAAATCAGAAGGATAAGAACAGCAAAAGTACATAGTAAGCAGTAGCCTGGAAGAGTCTTCAAGAATTTACAAGCTCTGGAGACCAGTGGTCCTGTTAAATCCACAAAAGCTGATATACTTTGAACATCAAGATTCTGCCAAATCTGTCCAAGCCCACCAGGACACATGACCATCAACAACTGGCTGCATAGCATGAACCACATCCAAGAAAACAGTGGCTCCTATATGTAGACAAAGATTATGGGACTATACATACAGGTGATGAAACAACAGAGGCCTTTGAGGACAAAGCCACAGGTGCATCAGTACAACCCTCTGTTTCTGAGTAAACAGCTGGGATTGGCCTCCTAATTGTTGCTCCAATTATGATTGCTCATGTGTGAGAGTGAACTGTCCGGGAAGTGAACGTACTATGTGAAAAGTTGCTGCCTATTATTAGTAGAATCAAGATGTTAAAGTTAATAACCACTTGATTAATAGAAAGTATTCTAAAAACATATGTTGCCTCCCTGGACCTGACTGACAGAAACTTGGTTTTCATTCAGGAAATTTATTTCTTTTCCTCTAAATTTGGTAATAGCAATTTTAGTTTCACAGGAACAACAACAAAAAAAGAAAATTCCAACCAAGCCTAAACTTATGTCTCACAAACCATTTACTGTTTATTTAACAACAGCAGTAAATTAACACAAGCGTGAACAGAACATACAGGATAAAACATGCTTACAGAAACTAGTAACTGAAAGTAGGGAGAACACCTACCCAGTGTAGTTTTGTTCGCTATAAAGAAAGATATATGCTTTTGTAAGCATAAAGAGAACGGATATGCAAAGACCATTTAAAGAATCTCCAGCTTCAGTTTTAAAAAGCAATTAATGTACAGTTTAGTAATAGCAAAAATATCCAGGAAAAAAAAAAATGAGCTTTTTAATTTGAAGTTGTATAAGCTGTTTTCCCAGTAGGAAGATTAACATGTGACAGCAGATCTGTTTGAAAAAGGCTTGGTAACTGAGAAACAGAAAACCTAGAAGAACTTACGCATCCATTTTACTTCCTAATTTTCATCATCACACCCCCCCCATTAAAGATGGCAGCAGAGAGAACCTAAAAAAAAATCAGTTGGTACAACCTTGCAAATCTGGAATGAGAATCACTACCACAGTACTGTCCTGAGACTCCACAACGTTATTTAAGTTGGTTTTGTTTTGTTTTCTTATCTTTTCCCCTTTTTTATTAATCTCCCTCTTACTCCTGCTGTTCCCTTCCCCTTTACCACACTATCCCACCATGAAATCAATCAGATGGATTATACATATTATAAATTAATTCCTGATTAAATATTAGTTACATTTGGTGACCTGCTAACACTTGTTTAACAGAAAATACTGTCACGTCAGCTTTTATTCACTGAGTATCGACTACGTAGACAATGCTCTCTTTAAGACATACCTGCAGTATGAGTGACTCTTTATCACCTTCTAATCGTGCCAATCTTTCTTGATATGTTTCATTATTAGATGAATGATGATTCACCTGTGACTGGGGGGAAAAAGCTCCTATGAGAATTATTACAGTTAATATTAGAATTTCAAACAATAGTTAATAAAAAAATTTATATTGAGTCATTGTTACAATATGAAAAACATGCAAAATATATCTGTAGACAAAAACTGTTTATTTCATATTCATGAAACCTTTTGAATACATCTTTCTTTAGCTGGATTTTGAATACTCTCATTTCCAGCAAGCAAGAATGGTATAGGAATAGATTTGGTATTTTCCAGCAAATTATTGTTTCATTGGTAAATACCATTTGAAATATCTGGTCTCAACAGTCTTTTTCCAAAGTCAAGGAACCTTGGTGTTTATTTTTAAATGATAAAAATTGTGGTATGGATTATACTATCCCTAGAAATTACTGAAAGCATACATTTGTTGATAGCAATTAACAAATTACTGAAATTATGAAATTCTTCTCAGCAACTACTATATACTAGAGATACATAATCACTTAAGGATTTCTAAATGGCTCTAAGGAGCACGACCTTCTAAAACACACTTGTTCCTAACCAAAATGTCCCATTTCCTACGAATTTTAATCCTCCAGAGAGAAAAAATACTGTAAAAAAAAATATATATATATACAGATTAATTTTAAAGATTTTAGAAGAGTCCCATTGCTTCTAACCTACTAAAACATTGTGTAACTGTGGGAATGGAGCTGTTTGCTTAGAACTTCAAAAATAACATGAACCTTTACTGGTTAATTTCCCGGTTCCACTGAAACAGCTAACAGAAGAGTGCAGCTTCACTGAGTGCCCTTCAACTGCACTAGTCTGCAGATGACTGCTCACTTGTAGTTGCTTGTACAATGGCATCAATATAATTACAATCCTCCTCCCCAGCTCTCCTTTCATTTTCAACTGAAGATTTGTCCATAGGTTTCTTCTTGATTTACACTGAGGTCTACAGGCCCAAATGTAAAACAGATGATGAAAATAAACGTGGTGCTAACTACTGCAAATCAAGAAATCAAATATTTATCCAATGAAAATTACGCTTTCCAAGCCATGAAGTGCTGAACTAGATGTAAGTATGGTACCTTCATGAGGTAAGAGGACCTGCACACCCTTGTCTCTGATATTTTTTGAAAGAATTGAGAGAATCACAGAGACACCAACAAACATGACTGAGATGTGACTGAAGAGATCATCTGGTTCATTACTCCATCCTAGACCAATAATTATTTCCAACATTCTTATATTCCTACTCCTAAAAACCTCCAGAAATGTACTGCACAGCCCCCACAGGTAATCTACTTCTTAGAATCATTAAAACAATTTTTTTAGAGTCTAACCTGAATCATTACCTCTTCAACTTCAACCCACTGGTTATTATCACATCACCATGTAAAAAAGAGTCCTCCCTGTCACTTCAGAAAATTTTTACCTATTTGAAGACCATCTGTAGATCTCCAATTAGCAGGTCCCTCTCTTTGGACTAAAAAACCCACAAGTTTTTCTGTCTTTTCCTCACAGGATAATTTTCCAAGATCTATTTTGTTGCTTTCTTTTGGTTCCTCTTCACCAGTTGTTCCTTAACTTCTTCTGAAATTAAGTGCCTAAGAGGAGAGACAGGACTCCAGCTGAAAATAGCTAGAGTGGAGAAAACCTTTTCACAGACCCCTGGGCCATATTCCTTTTCATATTAGCCATACACTAACACTGATGTATTTTCAGCTTAGGACCCATAACTTCCAGATACTTTTTTAATCCTCTTTAATGCTATTTAGCTAGCATCTTGTTCTTCATCCTGTGTTTAGTCACTGTTTCTGCTTGAATAACCTTACACTAGTCTATACTGAACTGCATCCTATTATTTATATTGCTTTCCTATGCCTCAAGCTCTTATCCTTAATCATGTCTTTTAGCATGGCTGCAAAGTCCCTAACTAGAATCATCCATAAATTCACTAAGCTTGGTCCTTAATCCCTGGTTTAGAGGGTGAACAAGAACACTGAAGAACAGAATGCGCAGAATCTCACTTATCAGCATTCACTGTCTGAATAATATTATAGAATAATAGAATGGTTTGGGTTGGAAGAGACCTTAAAGCTCATTCAGTTCCAAACTCCCTGCCATGGGCAGGAACACCTTCTACCAGACCAGGTTGCTACAAGCCCCATCCAGCTTGGCTTAAACACTTCCAGGGATGGGGCATCCACAACTTCTCTGGGTAACCTGTGCCAGCGCCTCACCACCCTCACAGGGAAGAATTATTTCCTAGTATCTAAACTAAATCTCCCCTCTGTCAGGTTAAACTCATTCCCTCTTGTCCTGTCACTACAGGACCTTGTAAAAAGCCCCTCTTCAAATTTCTTGTTGGCCCCTTTAGGCACTGGGGGCTGCTCTAAGATCTTGCCGTAGCCTTCTTTTCTCCAGGATGAACAACCAAACCCAATTCTCTCTGCCTGTCTTCAGAGGAAAAGTGCTCCAGCCCATCTCACTTTCCTGCACCTAGACCATACAAGTAGCAAGTACACACTGCTAGGCAGGAAAAGATTTTCTTAGTGACAAAACATACTGAAGTAGATTTTGTATCCTTTCTCAGGCCATTATTTGCTATTTTTTTAGGCTAGATATAAGAAATATACCTGTAACCATTTCAGTAACCACTCCCCCTGGCCTACAGGCACAGGGAGTTAAATTACCGCCAACACACTTTTACATAAACAATGCCATGAATACAAAACAGAATTCAACATTTTTTATAATCAGTAATTAAGAAATAGGTCAACATCAAATCACACATAAGGTATTTTACTACACTCACATTTACCAAATGTACAGCCTCTGATGATGTCTGCTGCACTGTGAAATATTCTCTGCTGGAAGTCCAATACTCAATGCCCACGTAAAACTTAATGAATCACACCCATGTGAACATAAAAGGGGGAAGAAAAAGAGAATCAACCCTGCCGGCAGGTCAGCTAGAGAGTGCTCAGATAAGAACAGGGAAGTAGAGTAGACATAAAATGAGCTGCTAAATAAAAGCAGCTGATTGACACACAGCAGTTGTTTAAGACTTGGGAAATCTTTGTGGCATACATAAAGACAAGATAAAACAATGTAATATGAACCAAGGCCATCTGTGGATGGTTGGAGTGCGTTCTGTTGCAGTTGTGAAAGTCAGTACTGAGAGGAAACTGAGCAAGTATAGTTAGATATCACATATATCAGCAACAACTGAATATAGGACCTGTAACACTAAAGCAGTAAGACTATAGACAACTTGAGTTGGTGTAAGGGCTCACAAATAATAAACACTAGACCTGTGTAACTGCATGACCAGAAGGCTGAATCCCCAAGATTTTCCACTGAGATGTTATTTCAGCAGATGTAGCCTTAAAGACCAAAAATCATTACCTAGGCTCCACAAATTATAAGATAAATATATTGATTATATTTCTTATAATGAAAGAATGAGTGCAATAGCATAAAACATATAAAAAAGTTTATGAGAATACATGATAACAAAGCAGAAAGAGAGATATGCTGAGGCAAGATGGTTGAAATTATGCTGATGACAGTACCACTGCAGATGAAAAGTCAAGTGTATATCATAAACATTTTGCCTAAGGGAGCTGCAAAGCAATTTCTTGAAGCACCTGTATTATAGACTCCATAGAGATTTTGGATATAGTTTAATGCCCATCAGATACTAACATAAAATGTTTCCTGAAAAGAGTTCCAAATCAACTGTTTATCCCTGTTCTAGAAAAATTAAGAGTGTGCTGGGGGGGGGCAGAGGGGGGAAGAAAGGAAAAAGGCTTTGCATTCCATCACCTGCTTCAGTTTCTTCATCTTTAGTTTCCAAATCTCTTCTCTGGAATGTGCTCTTTACTCCAACCGGGACTTAGTACTGGTAGCTGCTGGAAACTTCCTGAAGTATCACTTACATGATCCAGTTGTTACAGAGCCCTTTTCCAAGAAAAAGGCTTAAATATTCCTCCAGAATAAATGACACAAAAAAGGAGACTTTAGAGTATGACTCAACAGCTTTAACTTAAAATGGGGATAATCAGCAAGAATATAAAAGGGCATGGCAAGAAAGGGAAGAAACGTTTTAAGTGACATAGTTCACTATCTTAATTTTCACCAGCCTTCTCAGAGCCTAGTAAGCAGGAGCGTTATGTTTTTCTTCATTTTATTTAATAGGAAACAATTCAGAATGTAGTTTATTGTCAGAACAAACCACCACCATTGTAGAGAGCTTCTGTAGAGATGTTCTGTTCAGAAGCTTCTATAACAGAACTTCTAGCTGAATCTTGATAGGCTGTACAAGTAAGCCCCTTAAAGCAAGCACAAATACAAGATAACAAAATTGAATGCAAGCCAGTTTATGTTCTTCTCGTGTACTGTTTCCAACACAACTCAATTGAAACAAAAGATACCACGACTGAAATTTATCAGCAAGCAGTTACACAGAAATCTGTCACTAATGCCACGGATCTCATACTGGGCTGTTCAGTGAGGAGGAGCTGGGAAAAGAAAACTGGCAGTCAGAGTGGTGACTTGTAAGCTTTTTCAACAAGTCAGCCGCCTTTCAGAAGACAGATTATGTCATAACCTTCCTCTCTTCTTATTCAGTCACATGAATCACCTTCAGTTCCACTGATAATTGAGTAAGATGCCTGTGGCAACTATAATACTTGTATTAGTGGAGAACATTAGGGGCATGCTTGATATACTGTCTTCTGTTGTAGTTTAGTAGCTGAAAACAAAGAGTACAGCCTGCAGAGATCAACCAGTCAGTTTTCTTGCAAACTACTAGCAGCAAACAGACTGTAGTACTATATTTCAACACAAGAAAGTATAAACCATAGACTTATTCCAGCCTATTTGGGGTTGATAATATCTAGAAGAGTGTGGACTTTCCATTTCTTACTACTCCTTTGGGTCAGCAGAATTGATGTTATGAGTCACAATAGTTGCTATTGTGTAGTGATGAGCGAGTGGCCTACATAATAAACATTTTTA